CCTGAAATTAAAGGCACTAAATGCTCGGCGAAATTATCTGAAAATACTTTAGTTAAATAAAACGCTTTTTATTAAAGTACCCCAGTTTCTTCAAACTTGGGAGGTATTACTTTTCGTGCTTTACATTCTTAATGAGCTTGAGAAGATTCAGTTCGTTCATTCTTTACAGATGGCTGAGATTACACAAAATGGAAAAGTTTGAGACTTCGTAGCTAAAATTTCCTCCTTATTTTTGCAACAGTAAAAAAACAGCATGAAATGAGGTTATTATCGAACCACAATATTCGAGGTTAAATACGTAACATAAGTGTACCAGTAGTTTCAAAGGTCAAATACTATGGTCACGACATTGCACCACTTCCAAAGTTTAGCACACCTGCAATTACCCGAATAACCCTCCTGCCCTTAGCAACTGGACAAAAGTCAGCTGAAAAAGCCATGTATTTTCATCCGTGTATTAATAAATGAATTCTCCCAATCAACCACAATTGATTGTAATTACTTAATGAAAGCACAAATTTCCCTGATGACTTCATCGAAGCGTTCATCACAGATAAAATTCTGTCCTGAGTACTTTAATTTAAATGTGAGGATTAAATGAAAACTCAAATTTTTTACATATTTTGATGGATGGATTTAGGATAAGTTTTAGTTAAAAAAGAGCAATACCATTAATCTGAAGAAGATCTGAAAAAAGTAATTTTGGCTCTAATGGTCTGCTTTAGCGAGTGCTCGTCTGATGAGAATCTACCTGATGAAATTTTGTAAGTTGATGCTATATCCCCGCTGTTCGCGTAATAATATTCAATTAAAAGCTTGTAGAACTCCAATTAAATATTCTCCCAGCACAGGCAATCATGTAGTTAATTAATAAATGTTATCCTGTGTAGTCGCCGTGGGGTTGAAAACAATTAGAAATCGTTGCTTCAGTTTTTGCTGGAATTTTCTTCGCTTGAGGTAATTAGAAATAACTACAAAGTAGGTACAAATCAGAACTCTGAAAAAACCGACCGGTGCATTTGTTATTTCTACAAAATTGAAAGCTCACTCGCGGAAACGCTTAAATAATTATATAGTCAATAAGTTAATTGTTAGATACCGACAAGAAGAAAAATTTTAGTCAATTAATTTTTTATACTGGTTAAAAGTACTGCGCAAGCTCACCAATAATCGATCAATAGGGAGGTTTACAGAAATTTTGATGAATGTTTAATTGAATTCGTACATACACGTAACAGATTTTCATCCAATAAATTTCGAAATTTATTTTCAGTTTTAATTGAATTGTTACGATTTATCGTGTGCAAGCACTGCGAGTGTAACAGTTATTCTTGTAACATTATACTGGTTTGGGTCAACGCGGAAGAATAAAATGTTGTTATAGTGTTAACAGTTTTATACTATTCTTCCAATTGAAGTTATTCTGAAAAAAAATGGTCGTTGTTTTAGGGTCTTCTTGAAAGTTAATGACGTCATCGCAAACATTTATTAATTAAGTTTTATTGATTACACCAAAAATTGTTTGCCTAATTTTCTCAAAATGCATGGAATACTATTATTTTCTCATAAAGTTTTCTTTGATAGTCGATCTTTATGAAACAAAGAATGCACTCTGACTTACACATGTTGGAGAGAACGAAGTACCGATATTTTTCAAAATTTTTCGTATCGCGTATTGTATTCATCCAATAAATGGAGTAATCAGACAAAGGAAACCTTATATTTAAAAATAGTTATAGTTAGGGTTATTGAGCTAGCTCGTTCCAGAAGTGAAATTACAGAATCATGAAGTCATTATTTTTTAATCTCTATCACATAATTGAAGTCAACTGTAAATACACTTTTAGGTAATTGCTACTTTATTTTATTTGAAAATGTTAAACAATTTATTTAATCAGGGATTTCAAAATTCGTCGCAGCAACATACTATTATATGTATATAGCTAGAAACCATAATGATTAAATTTATTGATATTTTAACCATTCAGAATTAAACCTCAAACGCTAGTGGCTACCAATTTCCAAACAACCAGTTATCAATATCCAGAACTGCAGAGTCCAAAGCAGAAATAGAAGGTACTTTCCCAGTGCCTGGAAAATTAGAAGAAAGGTTGTTGAAAATATTAAAACTATAACCCCAAGCATTCTGCAGTCCGATTTCTTTTATTTGTTGGTAAAATCTTTGTAATAGTTAATGTAATTATTCTTGCAGGTACATAAAAATCTATTGTAATTATAAATTTTGTCTTTTTTAACCTAGATACATGAAATTTTCGTTGGGGAAAAAGATTTCAATAATAACAAATCAGCAATCCACCATACAACTCCATAAAATTAGAACGAATGTCCAAGAAAAGAGCATTAAAAACTATCAGTTTCCAAGTTAAGATCATAAACACTAAAAAATAATAATAATTAAAACGTGTTTCACATGTCCATATTGATCACGAAATTTCAATAACTTACTTATATCAGTCTATTAATCAACACATTTCAATGAAACAGTTTTATAATTCTGAATACAAATAATACATAATTAGTATTCTAAAAATGCTGCAGAAGTGATAAGAAGCATTTGGAGCCTTAATTAAATTCCCCTGCCAAAAGGTGAGCTCCAATCTAACCACCATTTCTTAATCTAATCACCATCAAAACGTCAAAGAGAAATAAAATACCACAGCTTTCCGACTCTAAATGAGTAATGCGTCCTTCATCAACATTGTCCAGATGAAAGCCTGATATTTTTTCCAATAAAGCGGAAAGTTTGAAATATTTTTCCTCAGAGAACTCCGGCTAACCGCGCTATTTTTCTTCGTCCATTGTAATGGTGACGATAAAATCTTAATTATTCTTCTTGTGAAATCTCTGAATCTGGATCGGCATGTCCACTCTCCACTTCATTTTAGTCGATGAAAGCTCTCTGATGGGAAAATATTTAACAACAGTTAAGAGAAAACATTTTTTACCATCTCGGTTGTCAGTGAAATCAATATTTCGAATGCCAAGCGAGGTGTATTAATAGCTTCTTGTAAATAAGGTCGAGAATATCAGTTTCTCTTATTGAAAGCCGTATGTTATGACAGACACAAATAACCAAAAACGACTTTTTTTATAAAACGCGTTTCCTTTATTGGAATTTATCGAAAACGTGCGTGCCTATGTGTATTTTGATTATTCATTGCGCGAAGAGCGAAAGAATAAATATTTGATGTCGATGTGTAATGGAGGAGTTAATAAATTACATCCTCCAGCGGAAGGTTTTAAATGTTTCATAAACTGTTTTCACTTACTGCTGAAAGCTACAACCCTTTAGAACTGTGTCGGAAAAACTGTGTCCATTATATTCGGCTGTCCTACGATTTTGGTACTATCTCTATTGGTGTTATTTTGGTTAAAATTATCTTTATATATATACATACAACTCAATTTTCATAACTAAAAAATAATTTTTAGACCTTAGAAACCGCATGAGCAAGACTGTAACTTGATCACAGTTCGACACTTTGAAACAATTTGACAACATCGTTTCAGACGTATTGTATGATGTATTACTTATAAGTTTCCAACTCTGGAAAATATACTTAATCTGTTGACTGTTGATAATAAATCAGTGAAATACAAAACTTGGGAAAACCTTGCAATTTTTGTGCTTATCTCAAATGTAACTATTGTATTCTCTTTTCTAACCACTTAAGTTTAAGATTTTTAATTGTTGCGAGTTAGATAAATACAAAAACTGATATGTCTAATTGTTAACACAAGAAGCATATATAAGGAAACGTATGGAACACAGTAAAGTTAAGCTTAATTGCGAACCGTCATCATACACTTAACTTTTCCTTTTGCTCTGGGTAGTTCTCATTTACAAACAAACACAATAAATTCTCATATTAACTAACTTGCAGACATCATGTCTAACCTATTCCAGATACAACAGATTTATTAACGACGTTAACTGCAGTAATGGTGGGTATGATTGCGCATTTGCATACCAACTGAATAGTAATGTAGCATTAATGAAATTATATAAGGTACACGTAGCTATTTCCATCACCCTAACAAGGTTGCTATTATTTCTTAGTCACAAGGAAGATAACCGCTGCCGATAACCAATCTATATATAGTTACAAAAAGTTTATTGATCTAATTCACTTAGAAGGTTTTCACACAAAAGTGAGAATGACTTTTGCCACAACTTCTTAGTTTTATCTCGTTCTTCCAGCTGTCACGAAATTATCACCTCCGAACTTTAGTGGATAGACTTGTGGAAGTATATGAATTAGATGTCCCAATTCTTGTCCTGTCAAAATATTTATTTTCAACTTGCCAAAAACGGATTTTATTGGAAAATGTAATATTATGGATCGTCACATATTTAAAGCCGGATCACGACTTCGATTTGATATTCTAGGAGCAATAGAACTTTTACTTCGAATTCGAAGGAAGGGTAACGCTTTCAGCCTTACCAGTCTGACGGATCATACAAAATAATGATCTTTAGATTTTTTTTTGTTACTAATCTCACTGGCTGTGAAACGAATCTTTGATGTTTCAAATCATATCTTTTTTCCACAGTGTTAACGCATTTTTCAGATGTTACAGTTGAAAGGTCACGCGGAAGAGAGCAATAGCCCTGGATTTCTTTGTATTCTCACAAAGACTTCCGAGTTGTCAGATACAAACATTTCCTTAAAGAAATCACAGAAACTTATTTAAACAAGCTGGTTTCATTAGAGGGCTTGTAACTTAATTTGATTAGCGTCAATTTAATTAAAGTTTAATTAAAGGAGAAACCGCATTTACACAATAATTAAGAAGCAAAGAAAGCTTTTCCAGGCTAAGATTGCACGGAAAAATTTTTGGTTGTATTTATAAATTTATGAGTGTCGTTAAAGTGGAAAGTAATTAGTTGTGGCTTTCAAAATGAAATTTTATAATGTATTTTGTGGGAGATTCTATCCCCAAACATCAATTTAACAGCATTATATTTCTTGTTTCAGGATTACTGTCTTGGGACGTAAACGACTGCCTCGTCGATCTAGAAAAGGAGTTAGCTATAATAACCGAACAGGCTCTCGAAGGAGAGGAAGCCAGATATGGTAAGCAACAAGCACTTCTCTAAATTATAGCATAAATATCGCATCAGATACACTTCAAAGGATCAAATCATACTTCTTTGACACGTACACAGTTTAGAGTTATCTCGATACATTATTTACGCCCATTAAATGTACTCGAATTTATAAAATGGAAGAGGAGATATATACTTGTAGACTCTCATAACTCCAACCAACTTCTAAATTCTTGTTCTTTTTATCTGGAAAGTTCTGCTTGAAAAAACTTCTTGATGCGAGATGTTTCTTTGAGAGCTAGTGGAATAGGGGCACGGACAAATGTTTCGGAAAGTCTTACAGTAAAATTTTAATAATCGTTAACAGGATTTAATTAGACAGTTTTGGATTAAATAAAGCTCGAGTAACGTTCGAGCGAGCTTTTGCAAATTCACTTGCAAATACTTTAATACTCAGACGTTCCATTAAACTGACAATTTGACGGATTTTAAGCTGCGAGTGGGAATCAAGCTCCACTGAAAAAAAGCTAGCGGGTTGATTGTGATAAGAATTTGTCATAATGGTTAAACGTTACATTCTCACTCAAAATATCGAATAGCGAGTCGAACAGGTTAAGAATTCGGATAATTTAAAAATGTAAACAAAACGAATGTCTTTGCACTTGAAAATTATAATATTAAACCTGGAATTTTGCCTGCGACTGGATGGATTTTTTTTTTAATTTCTGCAGTTTTTTCATCCTCTGTTTATCTATGCTTCAAATTCAAATATTTTTCTGTTACGAGTTCATCCACTCATCCAAGAATTGTATTTTTAGTTTCCAAGTTTTTACAAGACATTAAACTATATTCTATGAAGAAAAGAGGGAAGAAAAGAAAAGTGAATCCTAGTGAAATAATTTTTGTTTCAGTGCACGCATTAGATTTGTTATTTGTGTTCTTCTTCAAGCTGATTTGTGGTGTTAAGTCAGATACAGTTTCACGAGCAATAAACATTCACCAAACATATATTAAATTTTTTACATTTTGTAATATACCAGGAAAGTGAAGTAAATTTTAACGTAAAAAATCATGTTCATGAACGCTGTAATGTAAAGTCAAAGCAAAATAGCATACTGTGGATTAAGTGGACTAATAAATCTTAATCTTTTTTTTTTTCAATAATCATGTCTACATCGTCCAAAACTTGAAAACAATTTAAAGGAACAAAAACTAATAAATAAAAATGTAAAACTAGAATATTTTGTTAGAGAGTAACACAATCTTTTGATCAAAATGTATTCTTGATCATTTTAATGAAATTTTTTTCTAAACAACACGAAAAAACTACTGAACACACTTGGTAATTCATACTGAATCATTTAGTGTTACAATTATGTCTGAAACTGTAATAATTATTGGTTTTATAAACTGAATGCCTGCGTATTTGTTTTGACATGTATTATATTTAAAAAAGTGAAGGAAATTTCAGAATATTTAATTCGCAAAAATAGATTAGGGCTTTAATGGCATCGATTTTTTTTTTATTTGTTAAGCAAATCAGTTCACTTGTTCTTTGCTACATAAACATAAAAAATATATTAACTGTTGAGAAGAGTCTACTTAATTAATTAAATCTGTTCTAGTTGGTCATGACACGTACGTCAACAGTCCAATTGAATTAGAATTAGAAAATCGCCCGATATACATTAGCTTAATACAATCAACGAGTAATTTGATTACAGAGGGAAAGAAATTTCGTAACATTGACATATAATTCAACATTTTTGACCGTAATCTTTTGTGAGATCTTTTTTTTAACAAACTTTCTGAGATACATTGTGTCCAATTCTTGCGCACACTAATTTTAATTTCTATCGATCTTCTTTAAAATTCGTCATGGTGACACAGTTTTATTAAAAATATGTTTTTCTTTGCTTATGTTTGCTTTCACGGTTCTTCCTTACTTAGCAACAAAGTTGTGTTTTTCTTTTGTGATCGCTTTGCAACAACATTCCCGATCTTTCCTGCTTTTCCGGAAGCTTTAAAGGATCAAATATTACTCGGAGAAAGCAAACAGACCCCACAGTACATACAAAGCGTCTATATTGCTTTGGGAGCTCTCGTCCTTCAACCAGCTTTTTATGAGTTAAATAGAACCTATAGCACGTTATGAGTTCCCAAAACACGCAAAAACAAGATTAATCTTATTGTATAACATCTTTTAGAAGTGCATCAGAACTTTAACTACTCCTCTTTAGATGCATGTTACTACTCTTGCATATCAGAATACCCAACTTCGTTTCATTATGATCTAATTACAGCAAAACACCAATATTTGCTCTAATGTTCGCAGTGAATAACTTCCAGAAGTTAACTCGTGATCTATACGTCAGCAGCAATTTGTATTGTACTCGTTCTTCGAGTGGTCGTTGCTTATCTTTTACGGCTTTTCTTGTTTCGAAGCGCCGAAACCTGCCATTGTAGCATTTCAGAGTAATCTACCGAGATGGTGATAAGAAGTGTATTGTTGGCCATTTCAAGCCTATGTCAAATGAAACTTCCTCTGTATAGACTTTTTCGATTCTTTTTTCACGGCCTTCCTGCACGCTTTGTTAAATGATTAACTATTGGCGAAAATTGCAGAGAAAGGTCAGCAGAAGCGTATCGATTGCAATAAAGATATGCTTTGTGAATTTCCGACATAAAGCGATTAGTAGTTATATTTTATAGCCGCATAAAACAAAAGTGCAAATGGGTTTGTGTTCATTTGTTATAACGTACAAACATGACCGTCGTATATGGCAACAACTTTGTAGAAAAGTGTAGCCATAAAAAATCTAACTAGGTGAAATAATAGCATAGTGAAGTTTTTATTTCCCTAAACAGCCATCGTCTCGAATTCTCTTTCCTTGTAGAAAAAATAGAACGGTTTCCCCATAAAATATGTACACTAAACGTGGCACCAGTTGCGAATTATTGTAAAGGCTGTTTGCTGAGGAGAAGTGCGTTTCTCAAATTATTTATGCTTTTCGCCGAGACATTTTTTCTTTCAGGTTTTGTTGGTTGTACTATCGCGATCTTAGCGGAAATTAACCCAGCGCATCCACCAAAATGCGTGGTGTTTTTCTGCAACTCGTGAAGATGTGGTTAGATTTCTTAATTTCAGACCTTGTTTTATTTAACTTAGATAAATTGAATAAGAAGTCATATTTAACCATATTTTAAAAAATTAAGGGTACAAATCAGATTTTTTTCTAAAACGAATATTTTTACTTATTTTATCGTCGAAAACTTAAAAATGACACAATAGTTTGTGGTTTAAGTCATTTAAAATACAAACCATTTTTTTTTTTTTAATATAATGAGCATTTATCGATAAGTTTAAATCACTTTTAGTTTATAGAATCTTGATATGTATGCCACATAAAGACTACATATATTTAAGATTTTTGTGTCTTCCGTTATTTGTAGTATTCAAGACATTGAAATTGCTTAAATATTTGAAGATATAAAAGCTCCTACACTATAACACGATGATCCAGATCCCATAAACTGAAGATTTAAGTCAATCTGTAATTTTCACTTATAATATCCCTGGCGCATTGATTATTTCCGGAAATTTTTTCGAATGCCTTTGGAAAACGTATTAATTAGCCCGAGTGGAACACGAGGGCTAATTACGTTTTTAAAATGCATGAGAATAAAATTTCATGATATTAATCAATGCACGAAGGCGTATTCGGTAAGAAACTCGTACAAGACACAAACAGCCCTAATTTGAGCCATTTTATTCAAATCCCTAATACCACAGACCGTTCTAACAAAAATGTTATTCATAATTGCAATGCTTGTATATTTTATTTAAATCAACAATAAATTTTATCTCAATTGTGATTGTGTCAAAAAATTTCCACTTATTAATTTCTGTTAGGTTAGTAAGGCGACAAAAATTTCCAGGAAATTTTTTGGTTGCTGCGGCAACAGTCCTAAATTCTATTCTCTTATTGTCCTGTATTTGTGTCGTACGATTTTCAGTGTCGTCACCAGTGAGATCCATTTAATATACTCGTATCAGGAAAACACAATTATTCGCCAAATTTAGGGGACGCACGTGTATCATCTGTCGCCTATATATAATCTATATAATCTGTACAATACCATAGTACAATAAACCACATATCACCGTAGATTCTGTGAGAAAGAACAGGGGTAACGTTTATTTGAAATCATTTACGCTTGAAATTTATTTCATTGCAAATTCTGATTTTCCTTTCCCATGTTTAAAATGATGCAAAATAGATACACAGGATTGTTTGCAATTGTCTATCTCACAGCAGCAACAAAGCTTAGATCCTTGTTAACTTGTTATCACCGAGTACACAATCCGCCAATCCACCCCATTGAAAGTGATAGGTTCTAGTAATAGCTCGTTGCATATTTTGAAACGAAAAATTTTAAGGTGTAAAGGAAAGTTTAAACCAATACTTAAAATGTCACATCTTTTACGGTTCTGTATATATGTTCATTATGTTTAGATATCTTCTGTAATGAGTTTATATTTTAAGGCGTCATCAGTTTTTAGGAGGAAGAAATGCAATTTTGTTAATATTCCATAAACACAAACAATATTTATTATCAAAAATTTCAAACAAGTGTAGTTAGTTACTTAGATAAAATACAAAATTTGGTTGTTTCAACAATTCATTTTTTGTCAATAAAAAAACATTAATACATTCTGACCTCAGGTTACTTTTTATGGTTTTATCTTTTATTATAATGTTGTTATTTCACTGTGCTGAATGTAGTAAAATTTATAAAGTTCTTAGGATTGAATTTTGTACATTAAGTCACCTTCAGGTTTTTTAAATTTAAGTAATGTTGTTACAGAATATTTTTTAGTAACTTGTATTTTTCAGAATACATAAAAAAACTGAATAAACTGTTCTGTTTCTTGGGTTCAGATTTACTAAGTGATAATATCTTATCTTGTCTAGTATTTTGTGCAGACAGAGTCAAATCGAAATATGTATTGGGGGTTTAAAGTTTGTTATAAGATACAGAAATAAATACATTCTATCATTAAAAATGACAAGAAGTTTCAACAAACGTGAAAAAGTGAGTTTTTTCACTCGTGGTTTGCAATATTGTCATTTGCTTTTCATTTATATAGACTAGAAAAAGGACATCGGTAAGAAATCTAATGCATGTGACGTTGATCTTCTATTACACTGATATTTTGTAATCGTAAAAAATGTTTGCATCGTAAGTGGGAACTATTATATATTTAAATCCAATAGACTGAAGAGACTCTTCTTCATGTTACCATAATCTTTTGGTTATTTTTGTACAGCTCTTCAAATTACCAAAATTGTGAATAAATGATACGAAAACTTACGTTTTAAAAATTAGAAATTTAAACAATCTGCGTTTTAAAATGTATTAATATAAAAAACTCAACAAGATTTAAATTAAATTTGACAACATTAACAGATTTTGTTAAGCAATAATATTGTTCAGCAGTTCCTCTAAAAATTGTGGAACATTACATGTTTAAATGAGTCGTTTTAAATTGATTCATACGATAATAATCTAATCATATTAAACTTTCCTCAAACATTTTGACTATTTATACGTCCTGCAATAATTGTTTACTTCTTGAAGCAATTAAGATATAAAATTTTCCGCTTTTCCACTTGGCTTTTGTTCAAAAAGTAAAAGCTTCCTCCCGTTATTGATTCAGTAAACTTGTTTACAGGCGAGCGCCTCATCCAGTTTGCATCAGAAAACTTGGTGACGGAAATTCTGATTCATCCGGTGGTGAGCACGTTGGCGCAATGCGTGAGAAACCTTCTAAGCAGCTTCACACGACATCGCCATATTATTCACGCCGGATACACATTTGCAAATAACGGTTCTTGGGTATTGCAGGTACAACCTTCGCAACACCTGCCGGAAAAAAATAACCCAATTACTTGGCCTTTTTCAGGACGGCACCTTTTCCTCCACAGACTTTTGGGAAGCTTTCCAAGAAATCGAAGTCCTTCGAGTGATACGAGCCTACGAGAACGGCATCTCGTTAGACCTCCATTGTGCACCAGAAGGCGACTGGACTCGTTTGCCTAAAGAGCCGTTCGCGAAAGGTTGCAAGGTTCGAGTGAATCCCAATGATGTCCTGACGGCAGGATCACCGTCTATCAGCAGTTTTATCAATTATTTAGAGCCGTTCCTCGTGTCGGCTGAGTTGGATAGTATCTTAGAAAGTTCGGATGTTGTTGGGAATATTCGGTTTTCGAGACCCACGCTCTATGTCTTTCCTGGAGGACAAGGAGATGCTGCCTTGTTCGGAATCAACGGCTTCAACATGCTCTTAGATGGCGGATTTTCCCGGAAGGCGTGTTTTTGGGACTTCGTAAGACATCTGGATAGACTGGATGCCGTTTTACTCACGAGACTGAATAATAGTAACGTTAATGGAATTAGTGCTGTTTTGCGAAGGAAAAGACAGAATGCCCTGTACCCTCAAATCGGCCACTTCTTTTGCAACATACAGGTGAAACTACAAATTTTAATTTCTGCCTTATACAGCAAAATGAATACATTCAATACAATATAATTTAGACAATTCATCACTCAGAACATTCGTTAACTGCTGTCTCACTTTCTCTAGGAACGAACTGTTACCAGCTATCTTGTTTGCAGTAAATAATTTGTAGCACTTCCGTAACTTGTATTTCTCATTTCTGCTTATAAAAAATTTAAAGTATTTCTTCAAAATTATACGTAGTTTATGGCATGTTCGTCTTGCTCTAGTGTTTTTTCTGATTCATATGCTTGGAACCTCCTATTTCTCATTACTGTTTGCTCAAAAATTGCTTAATCGTTTCTCTTCATGCTAATTATTTTCTATAAAGTATTTTTGCGAGACTTTCTGATGAGCATATTTTTGTAACTGTCATTTTTGTAAGTAAAAAAAGCTCTCAACCATCTTTCAGCTCCTCTCACGGCCTTAATTTTTTTAAATCTTCTAGGAGTTCATTTAAAAGCTGTCAGCATACATAAAATAATATTTTTAATTTTTTTACACAAAATTTAAAAATCGAAATCTTCACGTTGCATCATCAAAAGATTTATTTTAAATTTGATAATCAGTTAAAAAAATAATATGACAACAATTACAGAATATACCGGGAGCAACACCAGCTGAGACTAATAGAAAAGACTGTATTCAATTATAATAACAACAAACTCACTTATGCTCGGGAAGTATCAGAAACATTTTTTTTTATAATTAATACCAATGCTATAAATAACCCTTAGGTACCATTACGCCAGGTTAATGCCTAATTAGAAACTGTTTACTTTTTTTGCAGTTAATAAAAATCTAAAGCAAACAAATTTATCTCTATTTTTCAGTTTACTGCTTTGGTAGTACATTTTTACCTCCCAAGCGTACAGAAGGTATTGTTATAGGATCTATTTCGCGAATAGTTAGTTTCCTAGTGTGCAGAATACGAAAAAGTAGGTTTCTAGTTTCCGCCCCTCTGTCTGTCATCTGTAATCCGTTTTCTGTTAACGATTTTATTGGATATATAATCTCTGGAACTACAGGACTACATTATTCTATTTTGTTCAATCTTATACATACATGTATCTTTTTGTAAAAAAAAAAAATAAGTTGTACAACAATATTTTACACTACAACTTTGATTGCTTTGCGATTTCGACCTTTATTATAATAATTGTTAGAACAGCTTTCAAACGAAGCATGTACCACCTGATAGTAGTTTCATTAAAAAAAAAAACTGATATAGAGATATTTCGTAAATTATCTGTGAATATAATTTCTCCTAGTTCAGGCTGGCTAAGCTCCTTTTTAACGGTTTTCTTTAGGCATTGAATCGGTACTGAATAGCTGCATGAATTTTCATTGGAATATAGTGTATATTTTATTTCTCATCTATGTATTTGCGTTTTTTTTTTGTCGGATTATTTCCAAAAGACTTAGTATTTATTTTCATTATTTTTTTCTGTTTTATTACTGGAAATGTTTATTAATTCGTCTATGTATGATCGTTGATAATTTCGAGATGGAATGAATGTATTAATATTATAATACCGACCGAAGAATAATTGTTTATATTTATGGGACTTACAGAAATACTGAAAATTTTATCTGAAAAACATAAAAAAAAGATATTGGTTTATGGTTACTCCATTTATTTAATTTATCGCTTTCTCCACTCCCTAGTAGTCTTTTTCTGTTAATTTCTCCGTTGTTTTTTTATATCTTTCTTTATGTCTGTTCTCTCTCTCTCAGTTAGCAGTCACTTTTAGATCAAGTCTTTGAAAACTATGTTTTGTTTTTCCTCCATCTCCTTCGTCAAATGTTTCCAATTCCCTTGAGCATTTATAGTTTAGATCACAATTTTACAATCTTTAAGCTTTTTATAATTCTTTTGTTTTGTCAGTGATTCTTTATATTTTATCAGTCTTTCTTAAATAATACGCTCTTGGTTCAAAACTAAACAACTGTGACGATAAAAATACCATTTTTAGATGTTTCCTTAACCGTAAAGCTCATATAGGTACCTCTTTTGCAGTAGATGTATTAAAATGCAGTTTCAATTAATCACCTAAAAATTAAAATTAAACCCACGTTCTGAATGATTCCTTTTGTTACAGGAAAGAAAAGCCATCCTTAGTCCAGACGGTGATAAAGACAAAGATCCTCTTCTAATAAATTTACTAGAGGAAGGTCAAGACATAGTCTCAAACCTGCGGCACCTAAGCCTCATTCCTCAGGTTTGTTATCGTGATTCCGAGCCCATCAATTTATACCATAAAGTAGGTCACGGTACTTTAGATATGTACGTTTTAAGTCCTGCCAAAGACTCAAAAGAAGTCAGAGAGTTCCTACAAAAGTGGAACAATAATGACCAAAAACTGTTTGCCAATCTGAGAACTAACAAAGAGTTTGTTTTCCCCCTTCAAAATCTCGTTTCGATTTGTGCGCTTTTGGTATGGCAACCTGCAAATCCAGAAGACACAATAACGAGGATTTTATTCCCGGGGAGTAGTCCACAGAATAAAATTTTTGAAGGTTTAGATAAAATTAAGAGCTTAGAGTTTATCAAACATCCAGTGTGTTCAGAAAAATCTTTAGCGCCGACGACTATCATTAAGGCCAAACAATCTGTAATAGAAAGAATTATCCAACCGGAAAAGAAAATACCCCTCGATAACAAAAAAGAAAAAATTCATAAACCACCAGAAGTTATAGACACCGAAATGAAAAACGGTGAAATCAATGGTGTTCAGCCAACTGAAAAAGGAGTCCCTGTGAAAAAATCAGATTCCACGGAGAGCGAAAAGAGTATCTCGAAACCTAAAAAAATCATCGAAAATGGAGAAAAAATCGACAAATCGAAACCCAAACCTAGATCAGAATTTAGAAGCAAACCCCGGAGCGAATCACAACAAAGAAAAGTCAAAACTGCTGAAAAGAAACCTTCCCCTACTACGCCAAAGAAGCAAGTTGACAAAATCGATGAACCGCATAAACCTAAGCCTAAACCTTCTCCCACTTCCACTCCAGCGAAGAGCGCTAAAGATGCAAATAATCGAAAAGTCGTAGAATCGAAAATTAAGGCGGCGCCTCTTAAGAAAGAACCACCTAAACCTATTTCCGACAAGAAAGAAGTTAAAGTGGAACGTAAACCAATTTCAAGGAGACCAAAAGATATTTCTAAACTCGCCGGAAGTCCTTCGAAAAAAGTCAACGGTGTTCAAAAACCCGACAGTATATCTAGAAGAGGCAAATTAGACAAAGAAGGAACCACAGATTCTAGTACCGTTAGTACTCCGTCCGCCGAACAGGACAGTATTCTCAAGAAAGACATATCAAAATTAACTTCTGATGAAATTCAAAATATGAAAGCACAGGAGCTAGCCGACTTAAAAGAGGAACAAGAAGCTGTTAAAGAAATAGAAGCAGTCTTCCGAAAAGGAGAGCTTCAAGAAGATAAACCGTCAGATTTCCGAAAAGTCAAAGATGTATCTATTGACGATAAACTAGAAAGTGAAGAATATCTGATTATTGAAAAGACTGAAATTCAACAAGACTTGGTTAACGAACCGAACAAAGAAGAAGAAACTCAGAAGATTGCGCGCGATAGTGAAGAATCAGAAAAACAAAGAAAACTTAGCGAAGAAAAGGAAACTGCGGTTGAAGAAAAACGCATGGAAATCCAAGATGAAGTCCAAAAAATTATAACTTCCGCCACTGATATTGTTAAGGCCAAAGAAGAAGTTGTCGAAGCTTCCAAAGAAGTATCTGTGACAAGTCCTGAAGACAAAATTGATAATTCTACAGATAAAAAAGATATTGAAGAAATAAAGGAGATTGCTCAAGAGTCACAACCCGATGAAAAAGGTTCAGCGAATATTGAATCTGGTGCTACTACAACAGCACCGACTTTACCAGAAGATGAAAGAATGCCACTTGACGAAATTAAAGAAGATAACGGAGACCAAATAATCGAAGAAAAACATGTTAAAGAAGATACCAAAGAAAAAGATGTACCAGTAATACAGTTACCACCAAAGACTTTTGAAAATATTACGAAATTACCTCCTGTAGTAGGAATAAGATTAGACAAACAGTCTCATATTAGAGACATAGTAAAAACACCTGATGAAGTTGCTGACTTACCAGTACATGAAGAAGTCGAATTTGACCATTATGATGAGTACCCCAGTGCGACCGAAACCAAATCAGAATTGGAAGAGGTAAAAAAGGAAGAAGTAGAAAAAGGTGATACGAAAGAAAAACTCGCATATGAAAAAGAGGATAAAAAAATAAATGAAAAACAAGACTTAGGTGATGTTCAAAAAGACAAGATGGAGAAAGAAACCGTGATAGAAAAAGATGTCGTTGGTGATACTAAAAAGACTGATGTAGTTGTTAAGGAAGAACAAACCAGAACTGAGATCAAGCAAGAAGCGAAGATATCCGAAGAAAAAGCAATACAAAAGGAAGCCGTTGAACCAGAAGTTAAGACTGTGATACCGGAAGACTTAAATAAAAAAGAACTATCCAAATCACCAGACGAAGAAAAAGATACAGACGAACATGAATTAGAACACAAAAAAGAAGAAATTGCCGAGATTAAATCATCTTCTCCAATCAAATTAGTAGAAGAAGAAAAGGAAGTCGTTAAAACTGAAGTCGAGCCAGTTAAAGAGGAAACAGTTCCCAAAATAGAAAAGGAATCTGTTGAAGAAAGTAAACCTATTGCGAAAGAACAAGAAGTGGTTGAAGAAGAAAAAGAACCAATTAAAGAACAAAAAGAACTTATTAAAGAAGTAAAAGACTCCACCGTCAAAGATGAAAAAGTAGATATACCAGAAAAAATAACTGTTAAACCGGAAGAAGTTGTTAAATTAGAACCAAAAGATGACTCGAAAGTATCTGAAATCAAAGAACATGAGATACCTGCAGAAAAAGGAGCAAAACCACCAGAAGTTAAAGATGGTGAAAAACTCATACACGAAGAAGTACCGAAAACTGATGAATTTAAAAAAGACGTTAAAGTTGAAGAAGTTGATAAACAAAAAGAAAGTCCAACACAAGATCAATCAAAAACAGAGGAGGTAATAGAAAAATCGGAAACCGAAGTCAAAGAAAAAGATGACATAAAGGAAAAGGAGGCAAAAGATATCATACCAGAAGAAAAAGATAAAATCGATGATTTGAAACAACTACCAGAGGTCCCAAAAGATGAAATTATAGTTACGGATGGATCAAAAATTAGCGAACCTGCAGATGAACTCAAACTTAAAGAAGATGTAAGTGCAATCCACGAGATTGAAGAAAAACTACAAAAACTGAAAGAAGAAATGCCGGAAGTCAAAGAAATTACCGAATCTGCAGTAAGCGAACCTTCTACAACTGAGGTGAAGAAGTATGAAGAAGCTGCAGAACCCAAGAAAGAAGAAACACAGCTTAAAGAGGATATTACTACCATTGAAAAAATCGATGAAAAACTACAAAAACTCAAAGACGAAGCTCGTGAAGAACAAGTTAAAGCCGTAAGTGAAGTTGTTACACACAAAACTGAAGAACCACAACACGCCGAACCGGTTGTCATTACGACTGATTCACTTCCTGAGTCTCCTGGTGTTGAAGAAAAAAGAATAGAAGAAAAGATTGAACTAGGACGAAAATCGCCTAAAGAAAGGGAGGAAGATGTAGCTAAAATAGTCGCTAGTGTAGCTGAAGTTTTAAAATCAGATGCACCACTGGAAGAATTTGAAGGAAAAATTCCTTTCAATATACCGTATAAGAGTTACACGACTGAACTAAGAGAAACTCACATAACGACTGTAGAGTCTCCAGTAACGGATGAAGCCAGAACTATAAAGGCGATTGAAGAAATTGTTTGTCCAAAAGCTAGCAGTACTTATTTTATAGAAGAAGAAAGAAAAATCGCTCCTATTCATGAAGAACAAGAAATTCAAGAAAGTAAAATTAGTAAGATGATTAAAGATTCAAATGAATTAATGCAAGCCACTTCGCGAATGATTCAAGATATTAAACACTCACAGCCCAAAGATGATAAAATTGATGAGGAACCTACTAAAGAAGAACAAGAAGGTGATGGTGGGACTGTACATAGAATGTTAGTGACAGCTTCCAGTGAAGACGGTGGCGAAGAAACGGAAATTTGTCCAGCAGGTACGATTACATTTTCAAGAAGTTCTGAAAGTTCGGGACGATCTTCTCCTGAACTTCAGTCTCAAAAATTATCACAAAAATCTTCAATTGCTGATACTTTTTCAGAAGCTACAGTTATAACTAAATCTCTAACTAAAGATACACAATCCAGTTTAGAAGAAACCAAAGTTATCGAAGATTCAGCAGATGTTAAAGAATCCCCATTTGCAACTGACGATGCTGTTAGTGATAAAGAAAAAGTAGTTGAAGAAATTGTGGATAAATCTGTAGTGGATAAATTAGCTGAAAGTAAAGATACAGTAACAATTAGTGACAAAGAGAAAAAAGATGACGTTAATAAACAAGTAGAAGATACAAAAGAACTTGAGGAAATCATAAAAAAAGATCTTGTTGAAGATATTGAAAAACAAGAAATAAAAAAAGATGTTACGGAACTAGACAAAGTGAGTGAAGCAACGAAAACTGCTGCGAGTGGAAAGGCTGAAAGTGAACAATCAAAGAGTCCGGAAATTATTAAAGAAGAACTGGACACAAAGACAGAAACAGCTCTGTCGGAGGAAAAAGTTGATGAATCAATCGAATCCACTGTTGTATCCGATAAACTAAAAGATGAGTTACCCGAAAAGAAGAAAGGTGACGATGATAGTAAAAAAGATGACACCGAACGTGTGAAAAGCCCGGAAAAATCCGAAAAAATTGTCGAAAGCAAAGATATTTCTCCAGATCTAAGTGAAAAGGCTGTGGAAACAGTAGATAAAAAAGTAGATATAGTTGTGTCATCAAAACAACTTGACGGGCCACAAGAGTTAACTTCTGTGACTGAAAAAATTAAGGAGGAACCACTTAAGGAAAGTATAGCTCCTAAAGAAGAATTTGATGATAAAAAATTGGAAACCACTGCAACATTAGCGAGCATCAAAGAAGTAGAACAAGCAACGAAAGATGATCTGGAAAAGGCCATAACTGCAGATAAAGAAGACAAAGAAACTAAAGAGGTTGTCGACAAAGTCGCTGCAGATAAACCACAAACAGTTGACACTGTCAAAGAAACAGCTAAAATAATAACTACAAAACCAGAAGAGATGGAAATTACAAAAGAAGAAAGTAAAGAAATTGAAGCAAAACCGGGAGATGCAGTTGTTCAACCGACTGAAGAAAGTAAAGAAATTGAACCAAAACCAGAAGATACAGTTGTTCAACCGACTGAAGAAAGTAAAGAAATTGAACCAAAACCAGAAGATGCAGTTGTTCAACCGACTGAAGAAATTAGAGAAGGGTCAATTAAAACTGAAGATACCTTATTACAAAAAGATGACGTGTTGACTGAGCATAAGAAACCTGAAGGTGCTCAATTTGTTGAAGATCTCGTTGAGAAGAAAACTGTAGGTGATATAAAAGAAGAAATAAAAGATGTTAAAAAGACATCAGACGAAAAGAAGGAAACTGAAATAGCTGGGGTGAAGTCTTTGGAAGATACAGAAAGTAAAAAAGAACATGTTGAAGATCTCACAAAAACCTTAACAAAAGAAGCAGATACTGCGTTAGAAACTGTTAAAGAAACAATAAAAAAGGTTGAAGTCGACGTTGATAAAAAAGTTGGAGCAGTTGCGAAAGAAATAGAGGAAAAACGTTCATTTCTCGGTGGACTCGTCAATGATATTGGTGAAAGTCTTTTACATGATACATGCAAACTGATAGAGAGCGCCCAGAAACAAGTGGAAGAGATTAAAGATAGTACAAAATACAAAATTGAAGAATTAAAAGAAGATATAACAACTAAAAAAGAGGCAGTTGTAAATGCTGTTGAAGAGTTTAAGGACACTGCTTTGAAGGAAACATCTACTACTACTTCAGAAATGACAGATGCAATTAAAGGTGTCGTTGAAACGTCTGAAACAAAATTAAGTGAATTGAAAGAAATTGTGAAAGAAGACACAGAAAAATTGTTGAAATCGACAGATCAAGTTATGGATTCTGTGAAGTCCAAATCGGATGAAATAAAAGAGGTTGTAATGAAAGAAAAAGAAGCTTCATTAGAAACATCAAAAGAGGTAAAGGAAAGTGTAACGAAGAAAAAAGAAAACTTACTTGAGACTGTAAAAGATTTTGAAGAAACTTTAGTCAATGATGCTACAGCAACAACTGAAGAAGTTAAAGAGGAAGTAAGTACTGCTAAAAAAGTTTTAGACGAACAAATTAAAGATATCAAGGAAACATTAGCAACACAAAAGGAAACTGCAGCTGGGGTAATTACTGATATTCAAGACTCAGTATCCAAAGATATTGAAACAAAGATCGACGACTTAAAAAAAGAAGTCACTGAATCAAAAGAAAAATCCAAAATCGAAATTGAAGAAGTATGTCAGTTAATTGCAGAAAAAGTGGATGAAAAAGTTGCTGACCTGAAAAAGAGTATGGACGAGAAATCGGGAGATACCAAAGAAGCAGTCGATGGAAGTAAAAAGGTGTTAGAAGAAATTAAGGACAAAATAACTGATACAGCTTCAACCGAAATCAAAGAAATCGAGAAAAAAGCAGAAGCTGTTTTAGAAGAAGTAAAAACCAAAGAAGATATTATTGTAAAAGATACCGTCGAAGATGTTAAACAAGCTGAAGATAAATTTGAGGAGAAAAAAGAAAAACTGGCACAAAAATTAGAACATTTAAGTGATGATTTAACAAAAGCTGAAATTAGCTTGAATGATAGTGTTGAAAGTACAGTAACTGAAATATCTTCACTTAAGAAGGAAGTAGCCGAAGCAGTCAAAGAAAGTGATTCAGATGTGTCTGAACGTAAGTATGACTTATTCAATGGTTTAGAAAGTGTTGAGAAAATGGTCGTTGATGTTCTAACAGCTGATCGAGAAGGAGTTTTGTCTAAACCTGAGTGTGATGAAAAAGATGAAAAGAAAATTGTATCTGGTGTGGCGCATAAGGTCGAAAGTGATGTTGAAAGTATTGTTACTAAAAGTGTTGCTGAAGTTAAAGAGTTCGTTGAGGAAACTAAAGACGCGATAACAGCGATTTTCAAAGGTGACGGAAGCCAAGTAGAAGTCTTAGAAAAATCAACACTTGATACTGAGGAAAAATATAAAACTGTATCTGATATGGCAAAATCAGCAGTTGTTGAAAAATGTGATAAACCATCGGAAGAAGATCACAAGAGGCAAGAAAAACAACTAGAAGAGTCTGCACAAACTTTAGAAAAAGAATACGAACGAGTCACAGATATGACAAAATCAATAGCATTTGAGAAATGTGAAAAACCTTTAAGTGAAGAACAAAAAGAAGAGAAAACTTTAGAAAAATCAGCAAAAGATATAGAAGAAAATTATAAAGTGGTGTCAGATATGGCGAAATCAACTGTGTTTGAGAAATGCGAAAAACCATTGACCGAAGTACAGAAAGAGGAAGCAGTTCTAGAGAAACAAGTGAAAGATGTAGAAGAAAACTACAAAACTGTGTCAGATATGGCTCAATCTGTTATATTTGATGAGTGTGAAATTCCAAAAGTAGAAGATCAAATTGAAAAACATTTAAAATCTGACATGCAAGAAGAGAAGAAAGTTTCAGATTCTGGTAAAGCAGATAGTAAATTACCATCAGCAGATGCAGTAGAAATCAAGTCTGAAGATGCAACTTCTGAAATTAAATTCGAACAAAGTAAAGCTGATGACAAAAAAGACAGTCCAAAAATGTCCGGCAAATCGTCTCCAGAAAAATTAGAAACCAAAGAAGTTCAAGAAGAACTTGCATGCAAACTTTCTGGTAAATCTTCTCCAGCTTTGTCATCCGAGGTAAAAGACGTGACGAAAGAAGGATCTGGAAAATCAACTCCAGATCTTAAAGATGTCGACCATATTAAAGTCGATAATCAAGATTCTTTATTATCGGGAAAGTCGTCACCAGGTCTATCCGGTAAATCTTCACCTATCTTGTCTGGAAGATCTTCACCGGGCACCAAAGCAGAAAGCAAAGATTCATTACTTTCAGATAAATCGTCACCAGAGCATACGAAACCTGACAGCAAAGAATCCTCTCTTTCAGAGAAATCATCGCCACCGTTACCAAGTGAAGTTAAACCAGATGAAAAAGACAAAGTTTTAACCACGGAAGTAAAAGAAACTTTGTCAGCTAAATCATCACCAGCAGCATCTGGAAAGACGTCGCCTGCTTTAAGTGGAGAAGTCAAGGCAGAAAGTGGAAAACTTTCACCTGAATTAAAAGCAGACAAAGATTCAAAAATAATGGAGGTTGAAACTAAGGAGGATGATTTAACAAAAGGAAAAGTTTCACCAGTTCCACCAACAGATAAAGATACACATGATAAAAAAAGCGGTCAAATTTCACCTCAACAAGATATTATATCTACATTAGATAAAGAAAAAATTGTTGAAGATGAAAAAGGCAAGGAAGAGATAAAAACAGAGAAACTGACTATTGAACATACTGACTCCGAAAAAGTTAGTCCTAAAGAAGAATTGAAGGAAATAAGCCAGAAAAGTAAAGACGTATCTGCAGAAGTATCAATTCCAGAGAAAAAGACTGAAACGGAGAAAAGTAAGACACAATCGGAAGACTCAAAGACAGTAACGACGGAAGTCGAAGAAACGAAAGAAAAAATGGTGCCTATATCGGACGTTCAAGTAGCTGTGAAAGTCTCTGAAGAAAAAAAAGTGGTTGAAAAATCCACATCTGATCTTTCCAAGTTAGAAACTCCGGAAGACACTAAACATTCGGATGAAAAAGTAGAGACTAAAGACGTAGACAGTATTGATTCAGGAATAGGAACAGAAGTCGAAGCTAAATTAAAAAAATCAGAGGACGTTGACACACCAGCGTCATCTGTGCAACCAGTAACATTAAAAGATCAAGATAGTTCCGCCAAACCAGTGGGAACAAAAGAAGAAAGTATAGCTGGACCTTCCGCTTCCCTACATGATACATCATTAAGCCCAGCAAAAACATCAACCGAAGATTTGCATCTTAGTGGCAAATCAACTCCCGATATAGCGGAAGTAGAAAAAATGAAAGAAATTCAAGAAAAACGCGATAAACATATCCCTGGTAGTTCTACTCCACCCACAGTGCCTGTTAGTCCCATTGTTAAAGAATTATCAAGTACACAACCCGAGGAAACAAAAACTTCATCTCCAACACCAATAAAGTCTTCAACCGTCACTTCTCTGAAAGACAGTGATATTAGGAGCTGTACACCTGGAAGCGATGACTACGAAATTGGTGCTTCTACACATAGCGATATCTCTTCTGGTCAAGTATCCAGAGCTCCCCATTTACTAGAAAGTGAAAGAATAGAAAGTGATGAAGACGACGATGTTCCAGGATCCCCAATGAGTGTAACGTCACAAGTAGCACATTCTCGATCATCCTCACGTTACGATTTCGAAGATGAGAGAATAGGCACAAAAATGGATCCTATGAATACGTCGTTCTACGGAGCTCTGCCAGATGAGGATGAGACTGAATTAGATTTTGAAAAGGCTATGGCAGAACACCGTCAAACCCGCGGCGAAGATTTGGTTACATCTGCAGAAGATTCACCAAGTTATTTATATGAACTGACCAAAGCTAAATATTCCACAAGAATTCCAGAACCGGAGGCAGCAAGTGGCCAGTCGCAGTTGGATCAAATCAATAAAAATGGATCCAGCAATGTAATGACAGCTAGTTTTATCGGAGATTTACCAACATCGACAACGGCAAGCGAAGCCAAAAAGGACGTTCTTGATTCTTGGGGAAAACCTCTGGGTCTGCCTAGTCCTGCCCCTCCTAACGACAACAGAGGAACTCCTAAAAAGGAAAGAAAACTACCATCAAATGTTACAGCTAAAAATAAGCTTAACGACGACAAGAAGAGATCGGAATCACCTTCTAAGTATAAGAATAAGAAACTTAATCCTGTTTATGTTGATTTAACTTACGTACCTCATCATGGAAATTCTTATTATTCGTATGTAGATTTTTTCAAACGAGTTCGAGCAAGATACTATGTGTTTTCTGGAATTGAGCCTAGTAGAGAAGTTTACAATGCCCTATTAGAAGCTAAACAAACGTGGGAAGATAAAGAATTAGGTATGTATGGTAATTATACCGCGTAATCGAAAATAAGCCTAATTAGAATTGGCACTGCTTGTCAATCTTCTGGTGGTACTACTGCCCTACTTTGACCTAAATAAATACATTATCTCTGCTGCACGTCTTCCATTTTTTATAAACCTCGGTCAACTGACACGATGATGTCTGTGTCTTTTGTGTAGTAGCACCACTTACACAACTAGATTCATACCAACTCTAATTCGCTTTATTTTCCGATTGCTCGGAAAAAGTAATAAACCATATACATTTCCGTTTTTTCTTTTGCAGAAGTAACCATCATCCCAACTTACGATACGGATATATTAGGATACTGGGTAGCTGAAAATGAAGAACTTTTAACTAAGTACAAGATAGATTTGTCGCCTTCAGCCAGTCGCTGCACCATAAATTTACAAGACCATGAAACATCTTGCTCTGCTTATCGTTTGGAGTTTTAAATCGTAAACATTTTTAGACCAACAAAATCCCAAAACTTTAATTCCAGCAATAAGTAGAATGATTGATTTAATCACAACGAATGAGATTTCGACGAGAAGAAGGAAAAAAAGGCCAAAATTTTATCCTCTACAAAAGTAAACGTCCATATATTTGTAATTCGCCAAGATAATATACCTTACATCTTCCTTGTTATTACCTCTTTGATTAAAAAGAAAAAAAATCTAATTGTTAATAAACATAAACACAGTCTTCATTAAATACACTCTTCATCTAGACTAGACTTTCGAATTAGCTTTTTGAAAAATTTCAAAATTTTAGACTGGTTCAAAACGAACAAAAACAAATTTAGGATTTTAAAATTATCGAACAAAAAATAAAAATTAATGTTGTTCAAGGTGCATGTTGTCCATTTTCACGTCAGTGTGTAGTACAAGGACGAATGCACCGATTTTTTGACGTTTGATTTTTTTTCGAAAAGAGAACGTCAATTTTGTGTGTATAAGAAATTTAAATTCTAGAGTAGGTATTTTAAAATAATTTGTGAGCTATCAACATCAATAGCTATAGAATGCGAGAAATAATTAAATAGTGTGCATTAACTGAATCTAAACGACCCATAGACAATCTTTTTAGATGATCGCTAAATGCTCATTTATACTTTATAATAAGACCACACAACATTCAGACTTAAGTTACGATAAAACGTTAATGCTTGGGCTATATAATTATTTCTTTTGCTTTATATGTATTAAAAAAAACCTATATATCTGATGTGATACCCATAGACTTTTTGTTAGGTTTTTGATGAAGAATATAGATAAAAGACGGTTACAAGAATCGAGGCCGTTTGTGCATTTTTTTATACTCCACTTGCTTTATTGGATATTATTTATATGCCAAAGATAGTATAGTTACACGCAATAGATTTTCTTACCTTGTATTAACGGTGCAAAAAATCTTTTTGATTTTTTGAGTAATCGTTTCCTTTCGTGGCCTACATTATGGATTTAGCTTATGAGTATAAGGTGTGATTGGAACGATTTAGTGCTTTCAATTACCTATACCTTTTTTTTGAGTTCAGTTTGGTGTTCATGGTTTTCTTTGTAGCCATTTTTATTCTCATACATACTCTTCGAATCTCTTTACAGATTTTGTAAAGCAAATGCTAGATGAGTTAATAGTTTGCGAACGGTATTATTTTATTTAAACATAATATTTGTTCATTGGAAGAAATTATTATCAGCCTAGGATAGTTCAGACGCCGTATTGTCGTAGACGGGGCCATAAATCTCTCTGATACCTGAGCTGAACTCAAAAAAACCAAAATGTTCAACGTGTTCTTAAAAAATTGGTAATTTTGAGCTTGTACCTAGTACACAATAAAGATTTATTGTTAACTATATATGTAAGATGGTGCTAACTGAAGTATGCCTTTGGAGGATTTTCATAATACTGCGAATGTGCGACATCTGGTGTGTGATAAATTAATAATTAAAGCATGAAAGATATTTGAGATAGTAAATATATTTCTGTATTAAACCAAACTTTAAAAATTATTTATTCGTACACGTTTTAATTATTGTCTATTTATTTATTCGTTTTATTTATTTATTAACGCACATTTTACCAGTTTGGTTTATACCGAAATATATACTTTTAAGGAAAAGTCACTTTATACTTACGTTGAAAACATGAAAAATATTGTAATTTTATGTGCAAGTTTCACTTTAAATTATCTATATATTTAAAACATAATATAGCTTCTAGTCAAAAATCTGATCCTTTAGCTTAAAATGTTATAAAGTTAATAATATATTCAAACGCATTAATGTATGGGATATGTATGAGATTAAAAAATTAAAAAGTAACATCCTTTTGTTCCCAATTTCCTTTGTCTTCGTTTACCACCCCAAAGCAGACGTAAAAATAACAATAAAATCGTACAAATATTTATTCAAGTATACAATATTTAAAGAATAAGCGTCACTGAGTTCCCTAAAACGAAAATAGTACGTTTTTTATGTGCGGTTAATTAAGCCGTACATATCAAAATCTGGTGTTATCCGGCATCCTTTCAAAGTATGCAACTTGTTCTTGTTCCACTTTATAATCATGGATCCATCGGCTTCCTTTTCGCAAGCTACCAGCAATCCCGTCCTTCCACACACCAGCGGGAAGATAAATTTCTCTTTCTCTAGCACCTGAATACAAAACAGGTGCTACAATTAAATCATCACCTATCGAAAATTCATCAGCAACTACATGGCACGCTGTGTCATTGTAATCTAACATCCATAAAGGTCGTATAAGTGGAAGGCCAGTATCAAGAGAAGTTTTAGCATATTTTTTTAAAAGCGGTGTAACTTTACTTTCTCTCAATGATGTCAGGGTTTTCGCCATATCTAAAACACTGTCATCGCCAAACGTGCTAGGCAGATGAGTATATCTAATAACTGGCAAAAAGGTAGCCAACTGTAACCATCGAATGTATAGTTCTTTATCAGGAAGCAGTTCAGAACTATAGTTAGCGTAAAAGAGAGTTTCTGGAGCTTCTACATCGCCACCAACAGCACCAGGGATTAGGAAAGGGTAACCCAGCAATCCATAGGTAAGTATAGTGGGAATTACCCTACGCAAACCTTCCCACGATGATTCAAACTGAGGCAAAGAAACAAAAGTTGGTGGTTTTGGTCGCTCAACGGCGCTATTGACACCAAACAAACTAACTCCACTTTGTAGACTATTTATAAAAAACGTCTTGTACTGATCTGGGTTGATCAAAGGTTTTTCACATTGATAGTAGTGGGGCATGTTATACGCGGTACCTAAATCTAAATAATATGCGTCAAATTTATATTTCGCTAATACTGACTTCAGCTTGTTTACAAGCCAAGGGATTGTTCTATCATTGGTAACATCTAAGACTCCCGCACTCTGCGAAGATTTGTATCTTGTTAGTGCCGGAATTCTTCTGTCACTAAATCTTTCCGAAACGAGTAACCTTTTTTTCACGGCTTCGTAAAAGTTGAAACTTTCTGTAGAGATAAAAGGTTGAATTGAAAAAACTATTCTAAAACCGCGTCTGTGCATTATTTCTATCACTTCTTCTAGTCCCGGGAAACGTTCAGAATCAACTTCAAAGTCTCCAACGTTTTTCTGCCAAAACTCATTTATCAAAACGTGGCCCAATTTCAAAAAACTTAAAACATTAACAACATTGTCTGTGTAATTTGAAATAGTTTCCTCGGTTAGTTCGCTCTTAGAAGACGATGTTATTTCCCACAGTGGTTCGGTTAACAACGAATTGACCACATTCATGTCTTCCCGTTTTAGTCCATCCCATAATGCATTCTCGACTAAATTAGAATGCAGTTTCATCATATCCGAACTCGTACAAATACTATAATTCAACTGCGCCGTCTTCATTAATCGATTTACATAAGCAAAGTCGTCGTATTGGGCCTTTAAACACAACTCTTTAGTGTTAACACCTGCTACTGAAACGTATAGAGGCGTCTGATCGTCCACAATAATAGCCACGCCTTTAGAACTCAGAAAATACCGTTTCAGTACGTTACCGTATTCATGTTTGTCCACACGACCTGTGATAAAAGGTGCAAAATCGTGGTTACCGTTTTCTAAAGGCCAAGCTGATTCTGCCGTTTGTCCACCACCGTACCAATGGTCGTTGGGTTGCGACAATTCGAAACAATCGGTTGGTGCCATAGAATCCTTCAAAGAAATCCACTGGAAATTGTAACACTTCACTTCTGAATTAAATTGGTGGTGTTGCATATAAAGACGTGCATGACCCATCCATTCCGAACAGATGCTACCGTCATGTTTCTCGTCGATAGGTAAGCAGGGTAATGCTTTATCATAATTAATAGTAGTTCCTAATCTGGCTCTTATAATTTCAGCACCTTCGTTGTTATATATTTTCATAATACGTTTTATTTTATTGAATTTGATTTTTTGGAAATAGGCTTTTTGGAGAACTTTTTGGTGGTACAAAAAGTATGCACAGAAAATTAAAACGACGATTGTTATAAAGAGCAAAGCTACGAAAATACGGGTTTTATAATCGGTAGTTTTCTTCTTACGAAGTGTTGCTGGGAGCATCTGAAAATATAAAAACCTTGATTTATTTTTCATATTTTGCATTATTTCTTAATAATGATAAAATAGTTATTTTTGTATTAAGTGCGCGAAATCGTAGCCGAGACGGAAGGTCAAGGCTTACAGCACATTCGAATGCAAAGAAAAAAAACAGAACTCGTGCAGGAAATACAAACAACGTTTTCGCTTCAACTGTTTGTTTCGAAAAAAATGAAAAATTTGATTTAAAAATAATTTCATTACTAAAAAAAAATAGTTGACTGATGCGTAAGTGTAACGAAGAAAAGCTGTTGTATTCGTTTCAATAAAAAATTGCGAAAAAATATAAAGTGTCACGGAAGTAAGTTTCTGCAAGAAATGGAGGACTACAGCAGTGATAGCGATACTCCACATGATGTGAGGGAAGCTGCAAATGCTGTCGTGTCAAACATGCTGCCCGAAAAATCTAAGGGACATTATGAAAAAGTTTACAGCGAGTTTCGTGGATGGTACGCAGCAAAAGAGAAAAAGAGAAAATCACAGAAAAATTGCTTCTTGCATATTTGGAGGGAAAATCTAGTAAATTTAAACCACTTACTCCATGGAGCACACTCTATGTTAAAAAATACCATGAATATAAAGGGAAACATTGATGCGACGAAATTTCCAAAATTTATTCCTTACCTGAATACTGAGAGAACGTGTATAGTTTCTTGCCCTGAATGTATAGAAATATATTGAAAAAATAGAGCTCTGCGGCTACGATGAGACCTAATTTCTATTAAACGTCACGGGGGATCAAAATCTAACACCGTGGCGGAGTGGTACATTGAAGATAATATAAATAACCAAATCTTTGATAACCAATCCTCTACATCGGCCGGAGATTCTACTCGGAAGAGAGACCAAATTATGAAAAACATTATAGAAGAAAATATTGAGGAAAATTTACGTAAGTGTCTAGTAGACAAATGGTTCAAATTGGCAATAATTATTCCAGTGTTCAAATTAATTTTAATGTTAATAAAAATTTGTTTGCAATACTTGTTTTTGAAATAAATTGCATATTCTGCTTGTAAAATATGTCATTTAAATAGTATCGTAACAGTAAAAAAAATACGTAACGTAGCAGTAAAAAAAAAGAAACGTAACGTAACAGTGAAAAAATAAATTATTTTTTAACTAGAACTTGAATGGCACATTTTGCATATCCTTAGTGATATATTTATTAAAAATTGCCATTTTTTTTTTGACAGTTGTAGAAGAATATAATTTTGAAGATCTTCATATACTGCGATTTTTATTTTTTGTGCATTAAGTTACAGATGTAAATCTACTGATATAATGCTACGGAGAAAGATGTATCACAAGTTGTCAGAAATAATTGTTATTCGTAATCTATAAAATTATTAGATACATATCGTTATTTCCAAAAAATTTCTGACAAATAACATTGACATGGAAGTCATATTCCCAATACAGAGTCATCAAAATTGATTGAGAGAGTTGGTAAACCTGAACTAGAATAATTTGGTTTATTAAGTTGTATACAAATATTAGCTGTCAGATTTGAAGTTTCAAATTTCAAAACTCAGTGGCGTCTCTTTTTTTTGTAAAAAATATTAGTTGTCATATTTGAAGTTTCGAATTTTAGATTCGTTCATTTTTGGAGTTTGTTCGCAAAGATGCGAGGAGCAATAAGGTCGCATCGAACAAAGCTGTTCGTACAAACTTCAAAACCGTTTGCAACTTTGCAAGAAGGTAACTTTCGTATTCACAACTGATTCAGGGAGTTCGACAATCAACCCCCAGTTCTCTTGTCACGCCACTGAATTCATTGCCATATAACCTTAAACAAATCTGTCATAAGGTTGACAAACTTCACGGCAAAAACAGGGAGTACCAATTCTCTCAATCAATTTTGATGACTCTGTACTTTCCATTGTGACGGAAATAAATACAAAAATACATTCACATTCAGTAAAACTAAAAAAATATTTGTCCACATACCTTTTTGCCTTCTGTCAAAATTTTATATTCAAATGATGTTGAAACGTTTGATTTTTTCACAGACTTTAAGAATTTATAAAAATACAGGTCACAATGCGTAGAAAGTTTATATTTTATACTGTCTTCCACTCTATCACTAGATTGTAATTTTGTTTATAAATAAAGTCTAATCTTCTGTTTTTGTGATTTAGTAATATATGGCGATTTTTGTCGACCTTTGCGTTCTGTCCCTGAATATTGTTAATATGTATAGGCGGTGTGTAGTTGTTTCCCAATATCCGTATTACCAAGAAGATAGTAATCCTCTACATAATGTAAAGTTTCGCATTTCCTTCATGTTTTGTTGCTCTCTTCTTTAGATGTCGTAGATTACGCCAGTATTAATCCGGTGCTATGGTTTCAACTCATTAGCATTACTGAGGAGACACACAAAACAAAACAATTTATTATGTTTTTCACAATCGCACATCCATAGAAATTTATCATACGTGTTATGTCTTATTTCTCGTTTTGCCATGAATCCTTTCTTTTTATTAATAAATCACGGACGGCTCTCCCTAAAGTTTTCACTACAATTTTATTGTAATAAGACACAGGACGATTTTTTATTAAATATTCAAATGAATTCATTATTTCTATTTAAAATTGAATTACTGCTAGCGGTCACTGCTCAAACAGGACCTGATTTCAGCCAAACACAGCGACTAGAGGCGCGGTTTCCATGGCAGCGGTGTAAACAAAACGTCTAAATGAGTCATGATTTAGTCTCGGTCTCCACTTACATCTGTAGATGTAAGTTTTGATACATTTGATACAAATGGAGCGAGCTAAAGAAATTAGTTTTGATAGTTATGAGCTAGAGCTGGGCGGTCGAAATTTATTTATCCCCACTACCCGTCGGATCAGGGCGAGCAGTGCCGGCCGCTGCAACCTTGCTTTACTCGCTGCTTACTCGTTTCTCGCTTTCCAAGTGTGCATCATTTTTGGTAATTTACACAAATAGTTTTATTTTCAACGAGACCAACGCTTGAAAATTATTAAAATTATTACAATTATTATTTCGTGGATATGGATTTTAAAATCATCAACCGACGGCGACGTGTAGGTAACATTAGTTTTCTCATAATGTGCTTAAATTTCAACCGCCTAGCCCTAGTTATGACACAAACTTCCAGATAAAAATAAAATTACTATTTTGCTATGTCAAATATGTTTGTGGATGTTGTAATTTCGGGGGGCACGTGCCCTTGTGCCCCCCGGCACCAGCCGGCCCTGTTGATATTATAGATGAATGAGTATGTAGGTAAGTGAAGAAAAATGTTGCTGCCTCGGTGGGAAACGAACCCCACGCCTCGCGCTTGCCAGACAGGTATCCTGACCACTACATCACGGAACTATGGTTTAACGTTTTCTAATCCAAGATTTTAGATGCAGATAATATGCTAGGTCGCATTAGTTTGCATAAACTTTCAAACAAACACTTTTTTAGAATGAACAAATATGTAATTGCTACTTTTAACAATAATTTTCGAAATACCACTTACAGCACCGGTTAAAATATTTTAAGGGATAGCTTGGCACAACCTAATGTTTCGTAGCTTTTTAAACAAATTGCTACCTAGATAGATGCTAATAGAACTTAAATTATACATTTTTTATTAAAAAAAAATTGACATTAACAGTTCATAATTTTTCGAATCCAATAATTATGTTGGAGTGAAGACTAAATACAGTAAGTATTTCACAGAAAGATAAAACAATAGTATAAATTTAACTCAGAACAGAAAAGCGACATTTTTCATGCAGTAAGAAATAGGCAAAACAGGCAGGGGCAGCTGATGCTGGGGGGCACAAGGGCACGTGCCCCCCCGAAATTACATCGTCTACAAACATACTGGACATGGTAAAATAGTAATTTTCAATATTTAAAAAATTTTCCGAAAATTTGTGTCATAATTATCAAAACTAATTTTTTTATGTCGTTCCACTTATATAAAATGTATCAAAACTTACATCCACTTACATCTAAAGATGTGTGTCTTGGATATATGATATGTTATTGCTGATAAAACCCGGGTTCAGAGACCGAATCATGGTTGATTTAGATATTGTTGTTTACACCGTTGCCATGGAAACCACACGTCCTAGCCGTCTGATACAACTGGACTGCGATCCCATTCCGACCGTGCTCGGCAGGATTGAGTTACTATCGCAGGTTTTAATTTTCATTCTGCGCGAACACGTATGATAAATATTCTTAGATAATCTTCTCGGTAATACAGACATTCGGAAACAACTATACACCGCCTATATTAATAATATTGGGGCACATGACGCAAGAGTGTTTGAACTTGCTTTACGTGGACATGCCGAAAGTAGGGAATCACAAAATCGAGGTCTGATTTTACGGCTGAATTTGACTCTGCCTTATCAAATCATTTGAAAGAAGTAACGGTTTTTAAAGGAACGCCTAAAACTGTTCAAAATGAACTTTTAGATACCATGAACGTAAAATTTTAACCGAAGCCAAAAAGGTACGTGGAGAAATCCTTTTTTACTTTTATTGAATGTATTTTTGTATTTCCGTCACACAATTTCGTCTATTACTTAATTGGTAATAACAACCTGTTTTATATCTTTATATTTAACTCATCAATAAAATTGTGTCCCCCCCATTTCAAAAGGTCACGAGCCGCCAATGAACAGGTTGCTTTTTTGTAAACAAAATGTACCAGTTTTACACGTTATTTTTGAGCAGCACAGATATCTAGCAACCACAAAATATTTCATATAATTATAATAATTAATGAAACAAGCTTTGATACTAAATAAAATTTTCCTTTAAACTTTAATCAAAATTAACTTACTTTAAGCATCAAATTTTTTGTTTTCATTTAAGAAATTGCTACGTTACATACTGTCTTTGCTTATACGGCACCACAGCTTTCAATGAGCAACAATCATGCAGTTTTACCTCAATTAAAACTAAGAACGTTGCTAAAGAGTACGCTTTATCCATAAAAAATGGAACAACTTCCATTAATGAGTAAGAAACAAGAATTAACAAAAATACTAGACAGGTGAAGCACCATTTCAAGAAGATCATATTTTAAGAATAGATTTGCAATTTTATTCGCAGCTAATATTACGTCACCTAAACTGACTTTTAGTCACAGTTTTATTTAATCATTAGTTCAGTTTAGTTATTTGAAATAAATTCTGTTTTTCCTGTTTATTAAACTGAAGAATCACATTTAAAATGTCATGCCAAAAATGTTGCCAGAAAATTAGTGTTCAGAAAATTTCTAATTCAATTTCTTTTTAACTCGTGCACTGCATTTTTGATTTATTTTATTTTTGGTGCGCACACTGTAAATACAGTAATAAGCTTAACAAGTCAAGTATTTTAAATAAAATTATTTTATTTTTTTTAAAGTGTGCAATTTCGGTTTTGGAATATTATTATACAATATTAATATTACCTACGCCAAATTTTTTTTAATATTCAAATAAAATTTATGCTGTTACGTTTTAGATAAATTGATAATAATCTTATATGTACATTGGTGGACAACAACTCTCATTATCGTGAAGTACCTATGCAAGCAGATTTTTCAGATAGTTTATGAAATGTGAGATAAAATAAAACTCAACTCTTGCTGACATTTTTTGGTGCAAGCCTTCTTTTTAAAAAAAGGACATTATGGACTAACGAAAAATTTACTCTTTTGAAGTTACAGCGTTTAGAAACGGTTTTTTGTTATTTAGTATATAAGTTGCATTATAATAGTTTTGTTTAAATAATAGTAGTAATAGAGGTACGCTGACATTTAGCAGTTTATTTCGTAAACAAATAATGTTGTAAAGGGTCGTGATAGTTATGAATGTTTTGCGGATAGTAATTCTACTCGTGACCCTTCTTACATACAGCCTCGTGCACGCAAATAACTTTTCAATATTGTACTTCGACTTTTGAATTGGAATGCACCATTTACTAACAATTGCTACATTATTAATCACTGAAGTAATACAAATGACAAATTTTCTTAAATATCAGTATTAAAGAAAAAAATGGCTTAAAAACATTCTATAATTTTAAATAGATCTCGGTAGGAATAACTGTATTAAATATATTATTCATTATTTTCTTACTATAACTTTTACAATTACCGAAAAAATCGAGTTCATGTTGTGTAAAAAAAAATTCAAAGTTGATGAAATGTAATCTGTAAAAAGTACACTCTTCTCGTATATGACCTTTTCTTCAATGTACGCTTGAGTAATATGTTAATTTCTGTATTTGCTTTAACAACTCTTTATTTGCACCTTTCATTACTACCTTTGTTTTCTAACCAATTCCATTTTGACTACTTAATAAAAAATTTTCCATCGTTATTTATAAAACAAAACTTATGCATTGCTATATCTCATACTGAAAAACTTATAAATTCAATTAGCCATACCTGCATTTTCTCCCTGAGCAAACTCGCCAACGAGTTAATTGAAGTGATTGAATTAGCTGGCGAATTACTTCCGGATTCATCTTCACCTGGTGGTTTAAGCATTCTCGGTGGGCTTGTGACAGATTTCCTTCTAGCATTACGCAGAGGCGTCCTTTAAGAGAATCATTCGTAAAGCACACAGGACAGATATCAAGACACTAAACAATTCGTTACACTTTCATTAGATTAAGTGCTAGAATAAGAGTCTACCACGGTAATAAATGATCTTGTAATGTATATAATATATGAGGCATTGCCTTTTGTCACAGGCATATGACCTGAAGCTGTGAGACCACAGAAAAGGAAGCTTCAATTGTGCCAAATTCGACATGCGAATTTACACAAAGGGATAAAAATAAAAAGTTAAGCGCAGAGAATTTAAAATAAAATTTCAATGAAGACAAAAATAAATACAGTTTTTATTTTTTTCTAGTGAAAGATTCATTTTTTTACGTACCGAAAGTACCGAGTACGTTTATTTAGTATTAAGATTGACACAGGTTATTATTCTATCTGAACTCAGCACTGATCTAGACCCTTGTCTGCCTTACACTTATTACAATATCCGCACTAGCAACTGCATTTGCACTTGAGATAATTGTAATAAAATATTGTAACGTCTCGTAGGTGTTTCCGGATTTAACAGCACACTTTATTAAAACAGCTTTCAAGAAAAATGATTCATTTTAATTTTTACTCTTAATTCAAAAAATTAGCTTACTTGACTTCATCTCTTTTACTTTTGTTGTTACCGTCGTCATCAATATACTGCAACTCGTCTAAATTAACATTTGAAAAACTCATGGTGAACAAGACTTCTAAGATACTAATTACTGATTTAATAAATCACATCAGCGGTTTCACGAAAACACTCGCAGACTAACAAGCATTAATTCCTTATCTAATATTTATCTCTTTCTTAAGTGTACGGATAGCGGATAATGTGTCATTTTAAAAAATAAACATTGTAGGTTCAGCACAGAACAACGGAATTTTTTTAGAATTATCGTGTCAGTCATAAATATTACATCGAGCTGTGATTGAGTGGTTTAATCTTACTACATCCCTGCGATAAAATGGTACCTACTCATATGATTTTGTTATTATAGTAAGTATGTAGGTGACTTCCTGTCTGATAAGTAATAAATTATTGAAACTCACAGGTGGCCTCAGGTCTTTTGGCTTCCATTTATGTACTCATCTTGTTAGTTAGTGACATCAGAAGATGTTTATTCAAATTTGTTTATGAACGTAAAGTAGTTAGTTGATTTGTGATAACCAAAATTATGTTTGCAGTTAACTGCACCATAAATATAAACCAAGCTTGAGTCATATGTTTTCACAACAATAAATACGCATATTTTTAATATGTAATGTGATCAAAAACAATCTTATTAAAACCTATCTCCAATGTAGCTAGGTACTTAACCGTCGAGGTCGCAAATTTTCAACATCATCAGAAAAGATCATTTTATCATTTACCCAATATTGTATTTAAACAAAGGTGCACTATATATTTTATTGTTTTTGATCTGTCATCGTTTTAAGTGCAGAATGGATACGATTTATATGTAACCATTAAATGTGGCAGATTGATTACCTATATATACCTACGCACGTGAAAAAAATTTTGTAAACCATAAATTATTTTTTTGTTTATCTACTTACATTAAATCACAACAATAGCGAAAAATAAGTAATACGTAGTATAAGAAAAACATGGTTACAAAAAAACACAAAACAGAAATTATTGTAACAAATTTGGTTCCTGTGCACTTTTAGGTTGCAACAGTTAAAATAAGTGGCATGAAACATAGTTAGTGTATCTAAATCTGCCTATCAGTAGTTGCATAAAATTAAATTTTTAGTCATAAAACAATATATCAAAATAAAATGTTAATAAATCAGAAAAAAGTGAGATAGTTACCTACTAGTTGGCATTTCATAGTCACTGTCCGTATCGTCCTCTGCATCCTCTGCGATCTGCAATAATAAAATATATTATTTTTCCAGACAACAGTGAAGAATAAATAAATAAAATACACCTTGTAAGAATCAAGAGTGTCACTTTCTGCACTGGTTTCAGAAAGGTTTCCTTCGTCGCTGCAATGCGAATTTGTTTTAATCACCACTATGTAATCCATTTTGTGATAACTTATTTCGATTATTTAGTAATAAAATTATATCCTATAGGTACATGTACCAAAAAAATTTAAATTCACCACACAACACTTCATCACGATAAATAAATGCAGTTTAAGAGGATCAACTCAATCAAGGTCATGATGAATTTAACAAACCATAACAACACTTCTTGATGTGAGGAGAGAACCAAAGTCGACACCTAAATTATACCTTTGTAAAACATATTATTAAATTCAGATAGTGTAAGACCTGATTCAGCAGCACATTTTTTTTAACTGTAAATAAGAATGATTCTGAGAAATGTGTTGTAAATTTAAATGTAATCAATGAAAATAATATTTCATAACTTTTAGTACGAGTATGATAAATTCGATTTATTAGGATGAATTTATTTAAAGCAGAGAGGTAAATAAATACTATATAAGCGGTTTTTATTAATCTCAATTATATGACGATGTTGCAAATTTTTTATTGCTGGGATTATCTTGACCCAGTTCATTTTTATTGATAATAATGCTACTAGTTATTGTATATTGTGACAGTATATGTGAAGCTTCATCAGTCAAAGATAGAGTGAGAGTAACCTACTACCTACTGCGTCAAGTTGTGGGACTAATAATAAGTAACGTGACTTCCTAATATTACTCTTGCATTAAAAATTTTAGTGATTTTAACAATATAAGAATATCTCGAAATGATGGCTTTGTTACCCACCTTAGACAATACTAAGAAGAGTTTATTTTGGAAAATAGAATATTATTTTAATTTGAGTTTGTTGTTAAAGGACAATGTGCATATAATTTCAGACTTTGGAGTACCTTTTCTTTTTGTCAGCAAGTAGATATTACGTACCTAATTAAAATCACAATTTATTTGTGAAAAATATAAACATGACTTAAACAAACTTTTACTTTATAATATCTAACTTTGTTTATTGTCTACTAGACATTATAGACGCACCAAGGTCAAGGTAGACCATAAAATTTTATACGCAAGATCTTATATTGCATGCATATTAGTTTTTATAAAAACCTCATTGGCATTCTTCTTATTTATTTTTCATCGTTTTTATTAAATAACTCGATATAGGACACAAATTATTGTTCACTATGTTACGAAATCATGATTATAACTGAAAACATCAACACAATTAATAATTAATTAATTCGTACATTTTTAAAATTTCTAATTTTTCTTTTCTAATAAGTGTTATCTTCATACATTAAACCGATACTAAAATTACTTGTAACTATATAAAATACTCTATGTTTTTGAGAAACAATATTCTACAACTTATTTTTTTAAAACGAATGGTCATATATATTTTTGCATTTAGTAATTGATCTCTTCTTGGGCTTTACAAGTATTTGGAATCACTAGGCAAAAGAATTTCAAAAATAAAATATATGTTTTTAAGGCCTAAGAAAAGAATAATCAGAATATGTAAAAATATAGGTACCTATAAGTTTTAAATATTTAAAACAAAACTCAATTGTATGTTGCTCCCCAAAAATACAACACGCACTATATTTGAAAATAATTTTATTTTTTCTTGCGTGACACTAAGGAAATATGTATCAATATCATCATCATGATGGTAAAATAGTAAAAACTAGCTTAAAAAACACGTTTATAAAATAATATATGTTCAAATTCAAGTTTCTTTTAAAAGATTTGTACATACTCGTAAATTTGCTTATACACTTTAAACGCGTAGTACAAAACATTTATTCAAGAAAGAATATGCCAAATAAAGAGCCAATTACTTAAATGTATCTAAACATTATCATAAAAACGGCAAAACGGTAACAAAAATTTGTATGTGTTAATTTCTTTCAAAGTACGTGTTTTTATACCGTCTTATTTTTGCTTTGTGTTCGACAATAATCTTATAAGAATAAGTTTGGGCTATCAAATATGACACTTTATATCGGGTGAATTTTTAAATTTCTACTCTAGTTGGACATGGCGCTGACACCAGTCGTTTGAATTTCACTGCTGATGTACGCTTCATGGCCAGCTAGAGCAAAAATTTAAAACTCCCAGGGTATTAGAAAATACAAAACAAATTTCTTCGGAGCTATTAAGTAATATAATTTATAGAATTTCGGAAGTAGTTAGTAACGTACCTAATGATGAATATGTTTTAAAATTAATATCTTCTTCATTTTTAGAAAGGTAAGATGTCATCTAAAAAAATGTATCAAATAAATCTTTATTTTCGCTTTGGGATGTATTGGGGTTTACTTCAAACGCAGTACAAATAACTTTAGAAATTTGATTAACAACAAAATCTATTAAATCTGGTTCTTCAACGCAATTTCATATGTATTAAAAAAAAAAGTCGTAGCAAATGTAGCTATGTTAAGCTTGCAAGCGTTATTAAATATACAAAAGATATAATATTCAGTTAATAAAAAAAATAGCATGCAGTTCACGCTTAAAAACAGTTCTTGATACTATTTTTATGAAAACAATATGAATTAAAAAGTAAAATAAAACAAATATAATGTAAAATTCTCTAGTTGTGTAGCAGCAAGGTAATAAATATGTTCTATGGCATGCAGCCATGACATCAGAAGATCAAAAATTAATTTATTAGGTACCATTAAATAAAAACGTTGGACATGACAATACATCGCAAAGGAAAAGCACAACTGCCAACATTCGTGCGTTAAGTATCATCTCACACATTAATTGGGTAAGTAACAATTTTACTCTCCTTAATTTTAACTTATAGGAGTAGTCATTATTCGCTTTGTCTATTAATTAGTTTTGTATGTCACGAATCTAGTTTCAACAAGAAATTATTACATGTTTAGAGATTCATATGGTAAAAATGTATGCAAACAACTTTACTCCATTAAAAAATGTTTTAATTTCCATTCTCAGTAGTTGTTCAAATTTCGAACTCGAAAAACTTAAATAGTTTATTATGTAACAACATTACTGCGATATTATATGTAACGTACAAATTCATGTTTACAAAAAATTAACAACAAAATTCCTAATTATGTTGTTTTCCTATTTTCTTTAAAATTATAAATCTCCTAATTTGAATTTAACATTTTGACCAAATAGCGACAGTTAAGGAACTATAAATATATACGTCTATACAACAAAGTCACTTACTTGTACGTGTTGTTTAAGGGTCTGTAAATCATCTAAATTCGGAAGAGAGATGCTATTTCTCCTAAGCGATAATCTTCTTTCAGAAACATCTCCTGACCCATCAACATTTTCGGAATCACTATCGTTATCATTTCCCACATTCAAAGCTGTTTCATAAATATCACTCGATTTAGAATCTTTAGGATCCATTGGTGGTGGGTCCACTACAATTATCGGGATCTCTTCAAAAGGTCTTACACTTATCGAATTATAGTACTTTCGGTTACTCATTTTCTAGTTATCTACTGTTAATTAAACTAACAAAAACAAACACTTGTCTACTTCAGAGGTATCACAAATAGTAATTAACTCTATAAACGTTTGCTTACACTTGTTTAGATGTATCGGTGGCGTTCAATTAATACAATTCACTTCATGTTCTCACATCAGTGATGAAAATAATTAGACATTAATGTTGCAATTATCATCTTCACGATGCGAAAACGTCTAGAAATTGTAAAAAGTATTTAGTTGCCACGAACTTATTAAAAAATAAGTTTTTACCGTGATTTAATATTCCGAATAAGTTTTAATTTCACGTGATGTTTTGCAGTCTCTTTTTACCTGCAAGAAAAAGTGCTAATTAGTATTTCACCTCCAACACTCGAGAAAACTAGATTCATTACAGTAGCATCATGCGGTGAGTTGAGTCGCCTGTGGGCGAAAATGCGTAAGATAGTTAAATAGTATGAAGACGTAAATATTTGGTCATTAATTTTATTGTGTTAATTGTTAAACACAAGTTAAGTCGATCTAGGTCAGAATAAACTCGGCATAAGTAAGTGACAAAATGAACGCTGACATTTTACTATTTGGCAAATTTACATAACTACACACTTTAGCATTAGATTTCGATTATATGAATCCATTAATATTGATTAATTTAGCAGAAAAATGACAAAGATAGTAAGATCAGTTTTGGTTGTTTTCTAAACTTGAAACTATGTTAAATACATTTTAACAAACGTGTTTAAAATCTAATTACTACAACACGTATTTCAATACATTGCTACACCTACTAGCGAGAACAATAATTTAAGTATGTACTTACTAAGTATATGTACAAATTTATTTTAATGAAATCATTATCAGTGTGTCTATCAAAGTTATAAATATTTCCTTAATAATTTCGTTGTAATAAGCATGGCGTTAAATCTTGTCACTAGCTTAGAAATTGTTTAGTTATTACTGTAACCGAAAGTAATGTTCTAGTTACTTACCCTTTAGTAGTTTCTGGCCGGTAAGCATAGTACAATAGCCAAAAAGTACCTATTCACACTAGAATTTCATTTACAGTACTGAATAAAAATACCTACAAACAAAGGATTACTAGTGATACAATATAAATCTCTAAATACTTTTAGTCCTTCAAACAATAACATTGCTTCATAGAAAGGGATTATGGTCTTAGTACCTCAGATATGAAATAAACAGAACCCGTAGCGCATTTACTCACAATAATTGTTAATTAAGAAAGCGCACTGAACACTTAGCCCTTGCCGTTTTGACAATCAGCAAATATCTGTCTGAAGAACAACACTACGTCGTAATATTTCTTGAAGATAAGTTCTTCCATTTGACCGTGATGATGTGTATGACTATGAATTAAGTAAAGGCAGCAATTTTCGTATGAATAAATTCATCAATTTTGTACCAACTCTAACAACTTCCTACACGCAACAGTTGATAAAATTATAGACTTATTTGTTGCCATGTGTGCTGGTTTTGAAAGAAAACGTGCAGTCGCTAAAACTTGCAAAAATATTTTATTTTAAAAAGAGTCATACAAAACAACAAAATAATCAAATTAGTTTTGCTTATTTACAAAATGCAAACATTTTTAAGGTCTCAGAACAAGATAATTAAACAGTTCTGTGTATAAATAGCGATAAGAATAACAAATTTCACCTTTTCTTCAACAGGAGAAATATAATAATAATGTTCAACCACAATTAAAGAACAGTTGGGGTTGGTTTATTAAATACAATGTTATACACTTCGTCAAACGTACTAACAAAATGTACTTCCAAACCATCTGTAATAAATTTTGGAAGATCATTAAAATCTTTTTTGTTTTCTTCAGGCAATATGATGCATTTAACTCCAGACCTTTTAGCCTATAAAGATATGTAAGAAAATAATAATAATAAAAATGAAAATCAAACTCACCGCGATTGTTTTTTCTTTAATTCCCCCAACAGGCAGCACTTTACCCATTAGAGAAATTTCACCAGTCATAGCCATATCTTGTCTGATTGGTTCATTCTTAGCCAATGATAACAAAGCAGTTACTATGGTACAACCTGCGCTAGGTCCGTCTTTAGGAGTAGCGCCTTCTGGCACATGCAAATGTAAATGACTAAAACAAACAAAAGTAATAACAGAACTTACTCATATTTCTAAAATACACCTTGTTTGTAAGAATTTATTGGTTTTATCTATTTTGTACAAATAATTTCTGGCAACAGTGAGCGCAATTTTTGCAGATTCTTTCATTACATCTCCTAGATGACCAGTTAACTCTAAGCTACCTTCTGATTCTTTCTCAAATGGAGGCTTTCTTGTCGTTGTTTCAATATACAACGTTGATCCACCTATACAAAAAGTTATTATATAGTTGAAGAAAAAAAAAAGGAAAGTTACCCATGGCAGTCCATGCTAATCCCATTACAACGCCTGGTGGTGTTGTAGGATACATTCTTTCTTGCGAAAATACAGGTTTTCCAACGAACTCTTGCAAGTTTGTCACAGACACATCTACAAAATTGGCTTCTTCTTTTACAACTTTGTAAGCAACTTTTCTAACAACCTTTTCTATATGCTTCTGTAAATTTCTAACACCTGATTCACGACAATAGCTTTTGATAAGGGTGTTTAAAGCGGCATCGTCGATTTTAATATGTTGGTCATTTAATCCACTATCTTTCATTGCTTGCGGAAGTAAGTATTTAGTTGCAATGGCTAGTTTTTCTTCTGCTACATAACCTGACATATCTATCATTTCCATCCTATCTCTTAAAGGTTCAGGAATGGTGTCAACAATGTTGGCTGTACATATAAAAAGAACCTTTGATAAATCTACAGGAACGTCCAAGTAGTGATCGAGAAAGTTTGCATTTTGTTCAGGATCTAGAAGTTCTAATAAGGCTGAGCTTGGATCACCAGAGTAACCTCTGCAAGTAAGATGTAATCCTAACAGTTGGTTTTTTGTACATATGTAGATACAAAATATTATATTAACCTACCCCCATTCTATCATTTTAATTTAAAAAGTACGAGGTATAGATTCCAAAAAAACATTTTCACATTTTTGTGCAGTTTTTATAACATATTTTACTTTTTACTGTTAAAAATACTTAAAAAAACTGTTTTCCTGATATATTAATAGCTAATGTTTTGTAAATGTAATAACATGTAGAGAAAAAATTAAATAAAATTGAATGTAATTTTAAAGGTCAAAATAGGTCCAAGTTGAAAAAAAAAAGACATCACTGCTTAAACGCTGCCTCCATTACACATATGTAGTAAAGTAAGTATATTTCTTTACAACTTTTCAAATACATATATACGTCAGATATTTTCCATTATTTTTTTGTTATAAACTATAATATTGCTTCGCTGATAGTGTGTAGTAATACGTACTTGCCAATTTTATCTACTTCATCAATTAGTACCAATGGGTTCTCAGTCCTCGTTTTCTTTAAACACTGGATGACTTTTCCTGGCATTGCACCAACGTAAGTACGCCTATGGCCTTTAATTTCAGCTACGTCAGTCATACCACCAACGGAAAATCTAAAGTATTCCCTATTAAGAGCTCTTGCTATAGACCTCGCTAAAATCATTAAATTAATAAGGTATTATTTTACAAAAAACTCTCTACCATACCAATGCTAGTTTTTCCGACACCAGGAGGTCCATGGAAACACAAAATTTTTCCCTGTGTAGAACCTTTCAACTGACTAACTGCAATAAATTCTAATATTCGTCTTTTAATGTCTTCCATTCCATAGTGATCTTGGTCTAAAATTTCTGATGCTCTTTGTAAATTTAAATTTTCCTCACTATATATGCCCCATGGAAGAGATGTCAACCAGTCCAAATAGTTTCGTGTGACACTAAATATACCTAAATTAAAGCAGTACAAACAAAAACAACTATACGCACTTAAATTCCGAACTGTGACTCTCCAAAAAATTGAGTTTGCTTAACTCTTCTTCAATAACAGAGCTCACAGCTTCCGGCAAAACCTTATCTTTGATTCTCTCCCGAAATTTATCACCAACAGCATCTTTATCTTCTTTTTCTAATCCTAACTCTTTTTTAATTACTTTAAGTTGTTCCTGTAGGATGTATTTGCGATGGTGTTGCTTAACCTTTTCTTCAACTTCTTTCCCAATTTTTTGTTGCAGTTTTGACAATTCTAACTCTTTTTTCAAGAGGGATAAAGATAACATAAGTCTTTTTGGAATCTACAAGATGCAAGTTATCTCTCTAGTAGAAAAAACAAGTATCGAACTCACATCCATTTCTTCTAGTACTTCTTGGAGTTCTTTAGCTTCAGCAGCCGTAAGTGCAGCTCCTAAGTCACTCAGGTAAACAGGGTTATCCACAACCCTTTGACCTTGATGCATCATTTGCTGCAAACTGTCTCGATATATAGAATTTAAGCTAATTATGTCACGTATAGTCTTGATAACTTCATGAGTTAGCGCTTTAACTTCCTCAGTTTGTTTAAATTTATTGTGTACCACATTTTCAACTTCTGCCATCAAAAACATCTCTTTTGATGGATCCTTTGTTTCTTTTTTCTCTTCTGGTTTGGTTTGACTAGTTTCTGGTGTTTTTGGATCTGCTGTTTTCTTAACGCGATTGTTTCTATGTTTTCGTCGACGTTTCTCTGCGTCATTTTCCTCTACAAATATGTTCATTGTTGTTTTAAAAAGTGGAAAGGTGAGTTTCATTTCTGCAGCAAAACGGGCTGCTTTGTAATTTCTTACAGTATAGTCAATGCAGTTTACAAAAATTGGTGGTTGTTAAAACTATTTAAAACAAATAAGCGACATTTATTAACATTAAAATCAAATTCGTCGGCGTTTCGCGTGGTTAAATTACATTTATTGAGATTAGAGATGAAGTTGCACTGGCAATATTGGAGCACAGCTTATTTAAAAGAACCTTGTTAATGACGTACCAAAATTAATTTGTTCTGATGATAAACAACACAAAATTAAGTGATATATGACATTAAAATTGATATACCTAATAAAATGTTAACATTTTCAACTATTTTTCATAGGTTTTGATGTTTCGCTACTGTATGTGTAAGCACAGTGTGAGGCTTCATATCATCTTGCTTATTTGAAGTTTTGCAATACAATACATTGTTAGTAAAGTTTCTATACCTTTAGGTGTTTCTTGATCAATGTCCAAAATTTGTCCAGTAATCTTAATTCTGCGATGTGCCATTACCACAAGCCTCAAGCGATCTCCTAAGTCTTGCATTTCATGAATTTGAGCAAAAACTCCAACATTGTAAACATCATTAACATTATTTACGACTTCAACATCACTTTCTTCATTTTTCTTTAAAAAGATCCCACAATATGGTTGATTTAATTTAACTTTTCGACGAATTAGTTCAATTAGCTGTGGTTGAGTCAGCTAAAAATTTTTTCTAAAATAATGAACTTTACTGCATTAACCTTTTACCTCTATTAATTTGATAAATCGTGGGAAGACTATATTACGACTTATTGCGATAACCGGTACATGTGGCCAAACTTCGGGCACCGCCACAGTGGCTGGTAATTGAGTGTTATAAGTGTCTTCTTCAGGGGGGCGACCATCACCATCAGAATCATCTTTAGAACTAAAAAACCTTACACCAACACCGATTGCTGCGTTAAAATAATTATTCCTCGACAATTTTAAGTTACTATTGTATAATTTAAAGTCTGATGTCTTTGGTGAGTTGGTTATGAAGCCCGATGGAAGTGAGGTTAAGCAGCTTGAAGAATATACATAAAAATTTCTTTTTGCTTCAACCCGTTGCAGCGAGCGAGGCAGAATGCGAGAATGTCCAAGTGCACGTGAAAAATATGACATTTTTGATGATACAATCAGTACATTCCAGAAGATCCACTAATACCGGAGTTTGTTTAAAAATGTCACAAATGTCTATCACCTGAACGTCATTTTCGTAACAATCGTAATACCAACTCAGTAACTCAATACTCAATTGCACTATTACTTTCTTATTCGTTTCCAAAGTCCCCAATGATATATTACTAATCTAGGGACTTTCATTTCTTTGAGATTTCTCACCGCCACCCGTGGCCAAAATTTTTTATGTGTTTTCGTTTCCAAATATGCAACCAGTATTACTATATAGTTATAACCAGACAGGTTCATTCAGTTCCAGTTAGATGAATCTGCTAACATGTATCTAAATAAATAGTTTTTCGTTTTTTGATTAATTTTACTCGACTGTCTGTTTGCGAAATGAAAAATTAAAAAAAATTCCATTGGGCCCATAATTCGTTATAAGTTATAAATAATTATGTACAGACTGCACCAAAATTATGACAAATTAATTCTTGCAGTTAAATTTTATTCAACTTTTGCTAACAATGTTTTTGAATTCCGAAAAAAAAGCGATATGCTTTTAACTTTAGAAAGTGTGATGGAAGAAATTTCGATGCTGCCGCTCGTCTATAAGCCAGGCAATACAGTGCGTGTTAAGATAAGGCTAATTTTGGCAAATGAGATACCCTCTAAGAAAAAAGAGGGTCGGTGGACCGTGCTAGTAGCTGTAAAAATAAAACTGACATTGACAAATGACCTACTCTCTAAAAAAATGAAGAGTAGAGGGTATTTGGCAAAATCAATTTTATCTTGGCAAGTATTGGCCCTGCCCACCCACCCTTTATTTTCGTCAAAGGTACGCTATTTGGCAATATCAATTTTATTTTAGCAAGTACTAGCCCCGTCCACCCACCCTCTGTGTTCTTAGAGAGTAGGGTATTTGCCAAAATCAGTCTTATTAGTAGCTGCTAACATAAGACTGATATCGGCAAATGACCTACTCTCTAAAAAAATGAAAGGTAGAAAGTATATCATTTGGCAAAATCACTCTTATCTTGACAATAAATTATTATAATCTATCACAAAAAATTTGGTATTTTTAATTACTAAAGGAGTTTATAATGTGAGGGATTATAGCAGTGGTAAAAAATTTCACGAACTCCATTATAAACCAATATAATACGCTATTTTATAGTTGACTAGTCTTAAATCAACAGTTAAATCTTTAGATAAAAGCGGGGATAAAAGTCTGAGAATTAGCAACCCATGCCTATAGTTATATGGTTTTTAATTTTCTGGCACAATTTGTCAATACCGTAAAGACGGATTATAATAAGGCTTAACGTTTTCTGTCTTTAACCCCGAAGTAATAATCGCAGTTCATATTTTAGCATCATTGTCATTTATAGAGCTTCGACTGTACCGTAATTTAACATCAGTTGTTATTGTTGATTCTACGACAACTGGTCGCAAACAATTGATCGCGCGACAATTGATCGCAAGCAACTCGTCGCAGCACAATTGGTCGCACGCGACAATTGATCGCAGCGACAATTGATTGCACGTAAATTGATCGCAGCGACAATAGATCGTACGTAAATTTATCGCAGCGTCAATTGATCGCAAGGTAAAATTCATCGGGAAGTATTTTCTTTTATTAAAACTAAATATTTTGTATTCTGAATTTTAAGTTGCAATAAATTTAGCAACCAGGTAAGGTGTAAATATCGAATTAAAAACAATTTGAATATAGATAAGTGACGAAGTTTGTAGTTGCACTTTAAAAATTAAAAAATACGAGCGTAAACACCTTGTTACATAAGATTTTTTATTAATAAATTGTCATTTTGGTTATTTTTTTTAAGAGATTGTTTCTATTTATCTCGTTTCTTATTTTACCTATTATATTATAGGAACTAGCTTCATTATAATAAGTACTCAACATAAAAACAAGTGTTTATTGTTCTTAACTAGATTACAGTTATTTAAAAAATCATATTTTTAACAACCTTTAAATTTTAACACATTTTGATACAGAATAATAATAGTACATCTAGAGTATCCATATGCAGCGAATATAAATTCCACTGGACGGATATATAATACTTATTTTAATACCTTGTAAATTGCAACGGATCTTTTACAGGGTTTGAGAAAGGTTTACGTGTATTGTAAATATATATTGCAAAAACTTTTGTTAGAGCGTCAAGAATAATTTTGTGTTACCGGGAAATCTAAGAAATGTAGGTACTTATGCAACTAAAAACTTATTTTTTAATTATTATGTGACTAGTATTGTACTGAAGAAAAATTCAGTTGTACCATATGTGGGTGTAAAAAATACATATACAGGGTTAATCACGAGAAAATTATTTCTGAAAATTATTTTTACGCAACCCAAAATACGAATACCATGTACCACTTGATACTAACAGAATTTAAAATGAAATGCTTAATTCATGATTGCTTTGAGTTTGGCAATGTCATTTTGACAATTCTGGAAAAGGAGGTTACGCGAGTGTCCATGGTGGTACCGCAGCCAATTGGAGATCTCCGCTGGCGCCGCTAATAAGTTTGTCAGGGCTTGCTTCGAGTGCCTCTTGATCTTTTGCAACCGATTAATGACGAGAAAATTATTTCTAAAAATTCCTTTTACGCAGCAAATTTATTAAAAAATATAGGTATATATTTAATTTTTTAAACTAACAAACGTAATGAAAATAATACTTTTTCACTTAAAACTGAAACGAGAGTTTTTTCACGATTTATCTATAACTTTTTAATTTGACAGTTGTAATAATTTTAAAACCATTTTTTATTAAAGAAAAATGACGTCCAACACGTTTTGAAAGCTATTTTTTTCACTCGTTTAATTGACAAACTTTAAACTTGTGAGAAGAAAAGCTTGAATCACTTACTTGAGCGTCTAATCAATAAGACGAATAATCCAAATGAACATTACAGTAGCATACCGACGAGATGTGTCAGCATTAAAAAAAATATTTTACAATATTTTCACTTTTTTGCACTTTGGTTTAGTCGGAAATGAGCCTAATAGTTACCGTTTTTATGGAACTCGTATGTATTTATTTTGACACTTTTTTTAGAAATAATGAAATTTTTGAGAATATAGCACATTAATTTATTTTCCTCATTCATAACAATTACTTATTTCTCTATAAACGCTATTATTTTTCGCCTGCGATCAATTGTCGCATGCGACCAGTTGTACTTGCGACGAATTGTGTTGCGATCAATTGTGACTGCGACCAGTTGTCGTTGCGACCAGTTGTCGCTGCGACCAATTGACGCTGCGATCAGTTGTTTGCGATCAATTGTCGCGCGACGAATTGTGCACGACGAATTGACGCGGTACCCAGTTTGATAGCCATTGTCTAAATTGCTAGCGAGATCTTGAGATATGGTCATTAAATTCGTAACTGTGGAGCGGCCTTGAACGAATCCATGTTGGGCATCACTTAAATGATGTTTAATCTGGTAATAGATAGTGTCATGCAAAAGAGATTCAAAGATCTTAGCAAAATTATTCAGAAGGGAAATAGGACGGTAGTTCTCTATGACCGACTTGTCATCTTTTTTAAGAGGGGGATAATTTTGAATACTTTCCACTGAACAGGAAAAGTTTGTGTTGACACTATTATGTTGTAGAGGTATGTTAGTGGTTTAGAAAAAATTCCGACGCAATCTTTGATCAAAAAAGCAGGAATGGAATCGGGACCCGCAGTGTTATTAGATTTTAAGTTTTTTATTTTTAAGAACACTTCGTCTTCAGATATTTCAGTGACAGAAAAGTTATTGTAAGACATAGAGTCCCCGTTGTTAACTGGGCCAAAAATATTCGATGGTTGAAAAGTTGATTTAAAATAATTAGCAAATGAATACACAATTTGATTAGGTACCTCCAGAGACTGTTTTATTCAAATAAGTCATATTGCAAGGGACACCCGAGTTCCCTTTCTTTAACTTCACAAATTTCCAGAATTCTTTTGGGTCCGATTTTATGTTTGATTCAGCTTCAGCCACAAAATTTCCATAGGCTACTCGAATTTCTTTCTTGACAAGCTTCCTGAATTGTGTAAATTCCTCACGACAAAGGACACCACATTCAGTTCAGCACAACAAGGAAAGGGAAGAAGAGAGTACGAAAAGTCAAAGACTAAAATACTTTACATGTTGACTTTAATAACCTCCAATACCTGTATATATATGTATGAATTTCTTTTTTTTAATTATCTTCTTATCAAGGAGTGCGGTACGGTACTAGTCAAAGTCTCGACGTAGAGATCATGCCAGTTAAGCACCTCTACCTGGAGTCAAGACTACTTGGATGGGTGACCAACTAGGCTTGAATCGCCCGTCCATCTGTTGTACGGATTAGTGTGTGCCTTCTCTTCGCCATCTTCGCTGACGCTGAGTGGCAAACTGGATACGGATTATGTATGCCTGTATGTATGTATGTATATATTTTCTTATCAATTTGTCTGTTATATTTAGATTTTCTATACGATTCTCGAAATTTTGCATTAAATGTTGGTAATACATGACTTGATCAGATGAAAGAATTACAAAATAAACGAATTACAACCCTGTTATGTTTCCTTAAGAAAAGATTAAAAAATCTTTCTTTTATTATTGTAAAATTAAGCTTAAAATCAAGACATTTCTTACAATAGTATAAGTTAAGTTAAAATAAGTGGGGACGCGCCATCTACTTTTATGTCCTTTTTTTAGACTTCATTATGAATTTTAATTCTTTTGCATCCCGGGAAATGCTGTAATTTTGTACTTTGATGACTTTCCTGAAGAATTTTTAACAATTTTAATGTGTTTTTAAGTCCTTATACTCCCATTTATAAAAATGGGCGTCTTTGCTCACATTTGTCGTACCAGCATTGAAAATCACAGAAATAATCAAATACGAAAACTAAATTTTGCAGCACTATCTAAGCATTGGTCTACTGTGAGATTAACTGGAAGAAAATAGAAACATTTGTTCTAAACACGTATGGTTATTTGCATCGTACATTTTTTTATATGTCAATAGTGGTCAATAATGACATTATAACTTTTCTGTTACCATTCAATTTCGTAGAATTACAAGTGTAGTGAAGATGGTATTGTCTCTTATATATAGTTATTTTGATATATCGGGAATAGACTATATTTTAAATAACTTTTTCTTGTTCTTTATTAATACATTTGTAATTTTTACTTCTCAAGTTGAAGCTAAGGAAGTATTGTAATCGAGTCTATCGGCCGACTGGTTGCGTTCATATTTTCTCGGTGGGTCATGACCCTTAGGATACGAAAAAATGGGTCCCCGTTTCTGTCTGTCACTGTCCGTTTGTTAGACAGATAATTTTCGAATCTACTAGACCGCTTGTTTTCAAATTTTATATATCTATTATGAATGGAGGAGTTACCGGTAAGACGCCTAGGGATTTTTGGACAAAGTGGCGGTACTTTCATGGCCATAACGCGGTCCACGTGGTTTTGGCTGTTTCAATCTTCCCCGTTAGTCATTTTCGCTATCACGTCGGGGTCACCGGTCATGGGTTTTAATAGGTTTATTGATGACTACAGGTTATTCTGGAAGTTCGGGTGTACGGCCGGATCGACTTGTCGTGGTGAAAACTCAAGACAGCGATCTGTTCTCTCGTCCAACTGGATTTTCTTTTCGATGGAGCTGCGAAAACCCAAGGATCCAAAAATCCCTAGGCGTCTAACCGTCAACCGCTACAATAAATATCATCCTCACCAATAATGTGATGATGTCACCTCAAAATTGTACATTACTATGTAATGTATGACATTTACTAATGGGTTCTAATTGTATAAAATTACATAGTCCCACACGCGTATAAATTATTTTTCGAAACAAATCAAAATTATATAACATTTTGCAATTTAATTTTGAATCTGCAAAACTGATGAATGGTTTGAAATCTTAAGCATGGTAAATTTTTAATCAAAATATCCCCTCCAAACATTGATGACACCTCAAAATTTTGGCGAATAAATTTTATCTAAAATGTACAAAATATGATGAGTTTTTACTTGTGATTTATGACTGCATTCATATTTTTTAGATTTGCCTATACGGGTGCTCCAAAAAAATTAATCAACGAAACAATTTATATTATTGATTAAGTCACGAATGGCTCATTCCATTTTCCCAGAACATTTGGGAATACAATCCTATTATTAGTAGTATTACATATACTGTGGTATTACACTGCACCAATCCAAGCTGATATAGTTACGTGTCCTTGCAAAAATGTTGTAAAGTAAAAACTCATTTGAAACATACGCGCAGCACGCTTCTTTATTTTTACTTTAACATCACATACGTATATTTATTTCAACTTACCAAAATATAATTCTCATAAAAAAACATACAACATTAAATTTTATAGTTTTTCGAAAATGCTGGATGTTTCGCTGTACTTTAGATGCGAGGGAAGTTCTCTTAAAACAACCTTCAACCAATTTTTATGATAAGATGCACGACACATTTACGTCTGTGTAGATTTAGATGAAGACGTATTTCAAAAAGTTAAGTAACCAAAACAGTTCTACCCAAATAAAAAGCCAGTTTTAACACAAACTAGTTATATACGCATTAAATAAGAATCCCACACCAACACCTCTAAACGAAATTAAAAAAGTGGCAAATCGTCCGATACACTCAATTACAACATTTCCTTAGCTTACGCTCGGGAAGTAAAAATGGAAGGTACAACACGCACCATGTCTTTCTTTAGTTGTTGTTTTCATTATTTTACTGTAAATAATACGCTTAGAATTTTAAAAATACACAAGTTAATAAAGTACTCGCCTACTTTATTTTTAAATTTAGTACAAGAAATTAATAAACTACGCTCTTTCATAATTATAATTACAAAGCATATATAAAAATTTTAAGCCCGCAATGACACAAATTGTTGGAATACCTCGAGAATGTGTGGATCCAAGTCTTGCGTAAACAATAGCGTCTCTAAAGTAGAACTATACTTTTGGACTTGCTCATGATGCTGTAACAGTCACAATAAAACATCAATTGTTTTCATTAAAAGTTTGTCTTACCGCCAAAAATACTTGCTGCAGTCTTCCAATGGTCCACTTGTACCAGTGTGTTGCATAGTCTCTACCATCGGTATCACACCTTACTAAATGTTCTGAAAGTATCATAATAAATCGCTGAAAAATGATCAAAAACAAGTTCTTCTGATCCGCTTGTGCTGCTTCTAACTTCTCTTCCATCCTCTCTACATATTCTTCAGTAGGTTTTTCTGCTTCAGATTGTTTTTTTTTCGAATCGTCATCCTCAGATTCACTCTCGCTACTTTCGGCACGAGCTAACTTTTCTCTAGCTTCAGCCAATTCACCACCTAATTTAATGACGTGTCTGTTCATTTTCTTAATCGTGAGGTGTAAAACTTCCCATAAGTACATTTTTGTGAATTCAGCAGTCATTTCTTTGGAGAAAATCCAGTTGGCGACGGCAGAACATTCAACAATTTGAATCTTTAACATTTTATCAACTAGAACAACCATCATCTGCTGGTGATGGTGCCATAATTCGAACATGTTTCGTAACACGCAAATTTGGGCTTCTTCAGATTCTGCTAAAATCTACACAAAAAATAAAATAGCGAAAACATAAAATATATATCAAAGTACCTTAAACACGTAGAGAAATTTAGATATCGCTGCAAAACTATGTGAAAAGCTTTTGGAACCTAAGTTTAATAAAGTTTGGACAAACACGTCGATTTTGAGTGGGTTAAATCTGCTGTCAGTCTCTTCTTCTGAACGTGGGTTAGGAAGATCTTTTAACACTCCCAGAACTTCCTCAGGAGTGCATTTTTGCCGGATTGACACTACGAGTTGATGAGCAGCCGACGTACCAGGAAGAGATGCTAAAAACAATGACTTATGAGTTATGCACTAAATTGCAGAGAATGTTACAAAAACAAAAGAATTGTGCATTTTCCACAACTATAAAACGACTAAGAGACGATTCGTTATGCATCACAAAAATTTCATAATTTCGGAAAGATTTCACCATCGCAGGAAGCTACTGTTGCTTAGCATTTTTTCACAATTCCTATGATTTTACTGATGCGCAGAATAAATTAATTCTGTGTTCTACTTACTAGAGTAGACATTTCAATGTCATTTATCATAATATTATTGAGAAATTGTTACAAAAATTTACATACATTTATAGAAAAGATCGTAATCTTACAAAACTAACAAATTGCCTATTATTATAACAAATTTTTACTTCCTCGAATTTACTACTAACCAACTTGTATTAAAACGGAAACGAACAAAGTTCATAAAACCGGAATTTAACACTCCAATAATACAACACAGTTTCAAGTAATTGTGATGGAAGCGTCCATTGCAGTACTCTAAATAAGTACTCATTGTTTTTAATAACAAACAAAATAGATTATCTTCTCTTTAACGGTTTCATTACGCAACTTTAATAACATACAATTTCGAAGAAATCGAATTTTCCCTGTATTTTAACGTTATAATTATTGCAAAAATTTAAGCATGCTTGCTCTGTCAACTTTTCCCGCATTATTATAGAACGCAACCTTTTTCTACCGTGACGTTATGTCAAATGCGTATTGTTATGATTGTGCGCTTGTTGTTTTCGATGCTTAAGACAATTGTAATCTACATCATGTAACATGCACTTTCATTATTGTTTTTTTTTACGTTTCGAAACCCACAAGCGTGAAGATGCGACTTTCAGATACGAACACGCTAATTCAGAGTCCGTTTTTTCTTAACGGGGCAATTAAGTTCAAGGTAGAAGACCAGACGTGGTTTAAATACAAATTGTGTTTTAGACATCAGAAAAAACTTCTACTGAATGAAAATTTGAAAAAGGAAAGTCTTCACTAATACAAGTTTCACAAGTACGAGATGGATATCATCAGATTTAATGAATTTGTGCAATAAAAATAAAAATATTTTATTCTGGGAAAGGACTGTTAAATTTTACGCAAATAGGGTTTTAGGTAACGTAACAAGAGTGCAGGACGTGGTTTCCATAAAGAAAAATATGTTTATTTGGAAATCGAACAAAGTGTTTGAAATTTTTTTTTTTGGTTACAAGCTCGCTATTTTGGCTTCGTAAATTCCAAAAAATAAAAATAGATTAAAGTAGAATGTATAGAAGTTTTGTTGTTGGTCAACCTCGAGTAATGTATAGTCTTTACCATTTCTATTGAAACACCACTTGTTAATCGTAAATTTGGCAACGTTCATATTCAGACAATTTTCTAACTAAAAGCCGTTGTCAATCAACCGAAAGCTGTTACCAATTGCTAAATTTTAAGCAAAATGTAGCAGGTGGTGTTTCAATAAAAATGGCAAAGACAATAGGTAACAATCTGTCAAATATTTATTTGGCAAATTTGACAGTTAGTGAAATTCGTGATTTGACTGGTATTCCATTTAGTAAGAAGGTAACGCCAGTAATTTTGTGAGCAACGTGAATGGACAAAATTTTTTTGGCGGTTTGCCATCTTGACGAAAAAAATTTCAGAATAATTGGTTTGGGATTTTGAAAATTATCCGTCCAAAACAATTTTTCGACAGAAAACATACAAAGAAGAAAGTTTATTTATCGGTTATCGCAATTACGATTTATTTAAGTTGAAATTCGGGAAACATGGTACACTGTGGTTATTGTTTTATTGTAAAATATATATCAAAATAAATAAATGTATCAACATTTTTACTAAAAATTTTGTTCTGATATGCAGTTAATATTATTCGTACTTCAGAGGTCCAAGAAGTTCGGCGCAAATAACAGATTTATTTTTACAAATTGCTTTTCATCTTTTCTTTATTCTTTGATACCTCATTATTACATCAAAGATGTATGTATTTCATAAATAATTTTTTATAATTAATTTGGGTCCTTACTGTTTCAAATTATTTCTGAGTTCATTAATATTTCTCGTTTTTTTTTACATCAGCGACATTTTAAAATATTTATTAGTGATCTCGGCAGATAAATTAATTTTTCATGCTAATTTTAAAAACAGCGAAAAAATCATCAATTACATTTTTAAGTGCTTGCCTTTTTAGTTTTATTTAATTCAAGAAAAATTTACTATTCGTCTTGATAAAATAAAAGTTAGAAAAATGTCCTATCCTATTGTATTTAAAACGCGAATTATGAATTAATTAATTTATAACAAAAGACGATAAAGTTTTATACGTTTACATCTTGTTAGCAAAAATACAAGGTGGGAAAGATTACATAATTGTTAATTATTTTCAACCCGTGAATATAAAACAAACTCAAAATATTTTATGTAAGAACACACTAAAAAAGTCAGTCAATGACGTTAATTATAAAATGAAGAGCGATAATTCTGACACGATATTAGTCAACAGTTTTAACAAACAATGAAGTTTTGAACTTATCAAGATCTTGCGACAATACAAAATTTATAATCGAGTAGCCAATGAAAAACATCTTTATTAATAATTAAAAAAAATCCCAGTGTTACTCTTGTACAATACAGAAGGTCAAATTTAACAAACCGCCACCACAAATATCAATAGTAATTTACAAAAAAACCAAATCTTTATTACATTAACGAAATTATCTTTAATGAGGCCATTTTTTGGATAATTATGGTCCTACTGTCGTAGAAATTAGCAAGCATGCATTAACACAAAACCGTTTATTTTAATCACGATGATCAGATGAGAAGAAATTAAAAAAATAAGATAATAATCTCGGCATGTGTTTGAATGAGGTAAGATTATTGCACACATAAAAAAGTAATTATTGTTCATCAGTGCGCAGAAAAGTAGACAATTGTGCGCGTAGATATCAACAATTATGTCGAAAGCTCATGGTACCATCGGTGGGGTTGCTGAATGGGTCTTCCAGCGCTAAGAGGAAAAGCAGTGTATCATAGTAACGCGTGAGTGACATGAGTGACTCTCGAGGGCTCCACTAAACGTAGCATGGGATACTTTACCACAATTTATATTTTTTTATATTTGGTAAGAAACAAAGTGAAATATAATTATAATAAAATTTGTAAACATAACACGCATTGATAAATGCAATAACTAACCATACCAAAATTAATTTAAGACATATTTCGTATTTCTTTCGAAGATTGTACTTAAACTTTGATCACATATATTCATATCATATCAAGGTTATTAAAAGGCAACTGCATATTTTAAATAATTCCATTTTCGTTCCACTTTACTCAGTTTTACTTTCAGTTAATTAGAGCTTGTGAAGTATCATCCATTACGACAAGAATAGACCATCAACCCGTGCGAAACTTTCGTCGCCACACTGGACCCCCTCCTTTCACAGATTGGGAATTAGGGCTACGTGAAGCCGTCCATCAGGCCCTTTTAAGGGAACATTATACAGACCCCACCCTTCGTGAACAGCTACTTCAAGCACCTCTACTAGGACGCCAAAACAACGCAAGTCCGTTTGGCGACATCGCTGTTCTTGCCAGAGGCCAACTTTACATCACAGCTGATGGATTCAAATTCGTGCAAGATTCAGATCAAGAAGATTGCGATTGTCACAATCCAAGATGCGTTACATCATCACAATGTCAATTGTGGACGAGTCTAGGCCACCACCATAAACTGCTTTCGTTGTGGACTGTGAAGAGAATACGACACAGGGATCCACATTATGGACACGTTTTTGAAATAGAATACACAATATCTCCAATAACGTCTGTTATTAGTGAAGAGTTGGTACGAAGACACGGCTATTTCAATTACAATGTTCCTGGACATATTTTCGTGGTTAAGAGTGACCCTCGTTTGAATTCCGCATACTATCTGAACGGGAATGGTGATAAATGGTACAAGAACCAACAGCCTGCGGAGCAACATCGAGATTACAAAGAGCACGGAAGTGGGCATTTTAAACCGGGAATCTTGATAGGTGTCAGTCCTGATGGTTACAAACACGTATTGCATAGTTTTCCCGGATTTTACTCATCTTACCATAACGATCAGACTACAATCGATCCAAAAGAATACGAATTGTATAAGAAATTGATCGAATCGCTAGCAGCAAAAACTTCTAATGTGCCTCATAGATTCTCGGTTACCTCTGAGAAAACAACGAAGCCTGGTGTTTTGACTACAACGTTTGTACCAGTTTTACAAACAACACTTGTTCAGGTGCTTGACGGGCAGTTGGTACCACTGACAGAGAGTACGTTCCAACCAACCACTACGCTTGTGAGATTTCCAACAACTTCTCCAGCTCAAGTGACGAAGTATTCGGAACCTGATCAACTTTACCATACAACGACAACAAAGGTACCAACGTTAGAACCACCCAAACCTATTACAGTACCCATGACAACAACAATTCATTATTATACTCCTGTTGAAGATACAAGTAAACCATCAACTGCCACTACACCTAAAAGAGTGATCGCTACGACTTCCAAAATTCCGAAAAAACCGACGACCTTGCAAGAAATAGATAACTTCGATATATTCACAACTAAGCCTGTACGAAAAACTACCCGAAAATCTAGTACGGTAGCTCAGAAAACTACACATGCTGTAACTACTGAAGCAGAACAAGTTGAGCTATTTCCTTTTAATACTTCAACTGAACCGATGAAACCGGTTACGGAAAGTTCGAAACAAACAAGTCCTGATTCTGTAAGTGAACAACTGCCGCCACCAGACAACGGAACGGATACAACGATAGCATACATATCAAGCACGGTGACTCAAGCTCCTACTTTCAAAACGGAGACGGTTGCTGCAACAACACCGAAGAAGACTAAAATAGCGACAACTACAAAAAAATTGATTTCGACGTTTGCTCCATCTGCACGTGAAGAAATAACTACCGTTATTGAAAAGATTCCATACACAGAACAGAGAACTACTGTCATTTTACCCGTACCTTCAACACAAGAGGAACGAACAACACCCCTTGGTCGTGTCACCGAACAACCAAAAACTACCACAGTGATCGATAAGATATACACGCTGACAGCCACACCTTCCACAATCGAAAGAAAAACTACTTCCATTCCACAAACAACTACCTTTGTAGGTGTACCTTCTATTCCCGGTACAACTATTTTTGATAGAGGTACCACACAAATTTTCACGATTTCAGAAGAAACTATACCTTCAACTATTGCTAATCCAACAACTCAAACAACTACGATTTATACAAAACCAACCACACTGTTTGAATATAATTTTGATTCGATAACTAGAACTACTACCGGAAATTCTGGTAGTACCACCAATACGTTACCCTCAACAACAAATCATTTTCCAAGCACAGAAACAATAAAGTATACGATTCCTACTACCACCACACACTACTATTACACTTTTGAAACCGATGTACCAAAATCAACGGTCACAACAGAAAGTACTACATTAGCATCGACTACGAATAACAAGTCTACTTATCAAGACGAAGAAAGCACGATTTCAACACAAGGAATAACTTCAAGAACCACAAAAAAGCAAAAAATATCCTCTACAACAACCAGCGACTTCTTGGTAGATTCTGAAATAAATACGCACATAAATGCAGTATTAGACACGAGAAAAGATTTTAATGAAGACGATATTTTTGGTGAAGTACCAACTAAAGCAACTACAACACTTCCAGAAACAACTACAAAACGCGCATTTCAGTCTGATTTAGATAGGGCTCTATTTGGTGGTAGACGATCGAAACAGATTAAACTTAGTTCAAAAATAACAAGAAGACCACCAACAGCAAACACCACCAAAATAATTTACTCAAATTTTTACGTGCCGTCGATACAAACTTCGCTTACCAGGAACGGTTTAATTGAAACTACGACTGGTTTCGAAGGTACTACAGAATTTAGGCCTTCAACAGATCAAAGTTACAGTACGTCAATCAGTTTTGAGGTAAATAAAAGGAAGAGCACTAAATCTACGAATGCCTTAGAATCAACAACTAAAGCCAGTTTAGTTCGAAGTAATAGAAAACCTAAATTTTATAAAGCACAACTACCGCGAAACACGGAAGTTGGGAAAATTACAACGGAGAGGAGTAAAAGTCAAACAAAGAAAGTTTTTGATGATGCTGCCCAACAACTGGTAAATCATGCAAAAACAATTGATTATTTGCATAAAAAAACATCTAGACAACCCAAATACAGACGACGAAGTTTTACAACCCAAAGAAGTCTGAGGAGAAGTAGCGTCCACGAGAATAACAACTCAAAAAAAGTAGATACATAGATTTTAGTTTTTAAAAACGGTATAGTAAGAAACGTGTCCCAGTTTTTTCGTCCTTAATTTACTTTGAGCGGAATATATCATTAAAAAAAATTAAGCGAATAATGTTGATGTGATTAAAATAATTTGTAAGTTATGTTTGGGCATGAACTAAATTCAGAACATATATTTAATATTTAAACTTATTTCTAACTAAGTTATTTACTCAATGTGGTATATAGATACCATTTCACATTAAAAAAAAAGACTAGCTTACAGATTATCTAAATCACATTTGATCAAGCAATTATGATATCATGCTCATCGTAAATGTGTATGGAAATAATTAGAACACTAAAAGTGTACGTCTAGTTACCATTCTGTGATAAAATCTTAAAACTTTATTTTAAAATTTTCTCTTTCAGATTGTAAAATTTTAGAAGACATTTTAAAACAGCACATTCTTAAAATGGAATTGTTAATAATTACTAAAAATTTTATGATACGCATAACAACTAAATAATCATTAGTAGGTCTATTAATTTCTTATGCGGATGTTTGTAACGACAAAAAAAATAATTATGTAAAAAAACTTAAGATTTCGAAAAGATTTGAAAATGTTTATTTTGTTATATGTATTGTATAAATAAATAATAAATATATTTTGATTACCATTTTTTATTCTTTCAGCCAATACATATATCAGAAAAATCGTGTGCAACGTTAACAGCTCATTATTAACCTTTTGCATATTTTAACTACATTTTAGAAATGAATGAACACACAATCTCATTAATTATTTCTTTTATTCTTTAATAACTATTCAAATTATTTAATTCTGTGTGTCACAAGACTTACAAGTCATATACGTGCTACTAAATAGAACTAGAATCAAATTGAAGTAGTTCACCCAACACATTCATTCACCAGAACCCTATGACTGGGCATTACACAGGGTGTTTCACCTTTGCTTGTACTCAACCTTTTCATTTGTGAAGATAAAGTATCGAAATTCTAAACTACTTTTTTGGCTGATTTTATTACCAAAGCCGGATCCGTGAGGGTAACTTTCAAGTTCCCATAGGTTCGCGTCCTCGCTGCATTTAGTAATGGTTAACTACGCTTGAATTTACACCATGTATGTTAACATTTCCCTGAATATTTTCCTCTATAAAACTGAGTTTGTAATGCGATGATCTTTGCGTAATGTGTAGCTTCATACACCTTCTATCCTCAATTTTAAAATTTTCACTAAAATGTACCTATTTTGCAAACGAAATGCCAGATTGTATTTTGCACTTTAACTACTTGTGCCAAATTAAGTTTTCCTTGTACCAACTTTATTTGCTATCCACGACTGATTTTAAAAAGTCGAGAATAGGTTGTGATTTTGAGTTTTAATGCATGTCGAACGTGATATTGCCATCGCGAGCTATTCCAAGCTTGGTACTTGGCGTAAGCCCCGGATCTAGATCTAGATCACATGGATGCGGTATCAGTTTTTTTAGAAGACAATCTAGAAGAAGTTTACGTGAAAACGCCAGAAAAGTAACGTTTTCAAACTATAGAAATCTGTGTATGGCTAAAGCAGAGTGGATGAAACTGGAACATGAAAATGGACGCGTGTGTTCAAGAACATTAAGCTGCATCAGTCAAAGGGAGATTACTGTATACTATATTTACTTCAAGCTTACTGAGCCAAACCTGATCATCGTTACTGCATGTGTTGATGATATTTTGGTTTTTGTACTGATTTAAAACTTAAGGAAGAATTAAAAAATAATGAATGCGTTTCTAATTCAACAGTTTAAGCCCAACTCAGTAAACAGCGCATTAGATCACAGTGTTAAAGTTAAAACTCAATAGGAATGTAGCCGAAAATGAAAAAATAAAAAATATTAGGTATGGTGAGCATGAGCAACAGATCTGCCCTAAATAGTATTTGCTGTAAGTTTGATAATAAATGCAATAAAATTCACTAAAATGCGGTAAAGAGGGTTAACTGATACAAAAAGGGAACTATTAACAATTGTCTTGACATTTAGGAGAATAAGTCTTTTACAGTATACAAAAAAAAATTACAAGATTATAATTAACTTACCTGCTCCTTCTTTAGCATATTTGTAATCAGGTTCTGGCTTGACAGGTATAAAGCAGCTAAAAGAATCTGGTAAGATTTCCCTCACTCGTTGATGATACGACAACCTTTTTAAAAATAAAGTTAGTTCTTTTTGTTATCATTGTAAATACTCACATACCTCATGGACTTTAACATCGTCTCTCTTATAAATTTAGGTTTTGGATGTTCCAAATCTAACGTCAAACAACTATCCCAATCTTCCCAAGACCATCGAAATTGGAAATTACTCAAATGATATGAAAACCAAGTCACAAATCTGTCAAAACATGAAACGTTCATGGAATCAATTCTCATGAAGAGCATTTCTGTTGCTTGAGCTAATACTTGTGGCATAGTTGAAGGTTGTAATTTGCAAAGTTCTATTAAAATGGCTCCATAAGCAATTTCAAGATATCGAGGCGTTGGCATGTGAAACAGTTCAGCAAAAATACACTCAACTATGCAATATTCGAGCGGAATCTTTAATTTATATGGAAAATTCAATAGATGCGCTGCACAATCTTTTCTTTCCAGATGATACATTTCAATTATTGAATGCAAGTGCTCTTCAATCAAAAACCTTTCAATAGAGTGAGCACCTGGTAAAATAGGGCCTTCTGGGCAGTCTGTATAATCAAATAGACGGAAAACAACCCATGGCATTGGGTATTGGTATGAATCATGATGAGGTGGTGGTAAAATTGATGGTAAACTATGTTGTAAAGCCTCACAGAGTATTGAATCAAAAGCTAAATATGGTCTTGGGATGTGTTTTTCAGCCCAGTTGTCCTGCCTAAGTTTTCTGATTTGTGACCATAAACAATCAAGGTATTCTTCCTGTGGATGTGGAGTATCAACTGCCCATACTCTCAATGCATTATGATGTTTCTTGGTCCTTTTATTTAGAAATACTTCAATTTGAACCAACAGGTGTTCTAGAGATTGCTCTTTTTTCTCATATAATTCTCGCCCCACCCATGGCAATGTGCTTAAAATCGCAAAAACATACCAATCGCGGCGTACCTAAAATAAATAAATTAGTCTAGAGAAGTAATGTAATACAGCAAGTACTTGAGGGACATTATCTTCATTAGCAGCGTCAATCATGTTGTCCAATAACTGTAGAAGTGAAGGTGCTGATACCACATGACAGTTTACCAAATCTGCCAAGAACCGCAAAGCATATCTTGCAGCATCCCACTTACAATTCTTCAAAGATTCTTTAAAATTCTTAACCATGTACTCAACAAAATCACCCCCAAAATTATAATTTTTTACATTCAATAAACCCACTAATGTGGTATAAATAGTGCATTTTTCTGGCATTTTGATAGCGCAATCAGTCAGAATTCTCAATATCTTAATACGAAAAGTCGACAAGTCTGCTTCTAAGACACTAGCCAAACCTTCAAGGTTTGATTCGAGGGAAGAGGTGCTTTTTTCACCTACACGCAAAATCAGAGACTCCAAGCGGTCTTCTATTTCTTGGTTTTCGGATACACGTCGTCGTTTGCGATAGGCACGGTCTGTGAAGAAGTTTATACATTATGATAATTGTGACGTAGGTTATGTAAGTTAAATACCGTAACCGTCCTCTTCTTCGTGGGGTCGCCTGCGACTCATCTTACTTTTAAGAATACACTTGTTTTGAGTAAAAAGTGATAATTATCAATTGCGACCCATTTAACCAAAAATTCGGCGTCGTCAACGCCGTCACGCACTTCACACGCAACTGTCACTGATCAGTGATCACTGTCAAAAACCTCAGATAAATGTCAATTAGTGGAAAATGAAAAGTTACTAAAGTGGTTGTTGTTCTCTAATTTTATACAAATAAAATTAATCAAAAAAAACCTTTTGTTTCTTTTTTACTGTTGTGAATGTCTTATTATATTCCTTTGGCCATTTGTCATTGTTTTAATTGTTGTTTTGGGTAAGTAGTACGACAAATTGATGAATGAATAGGACTAGCATTTGTTTACCTTTTTTAGAAGGCAACAATGTACCCTCAAATCACATTTAGAAACCAATATTTACCACTTTATTAATAGATTTGGTACCAAGCATAGAGAGCAGTCATCACGATTTTATCTCTCATTGATTATAAGAATGTGGTGTTAAGTAATTATAGGATTAAAATGTCATGCAATTATGCAGATGGGTTGTCTCCTTATGAAAATAAAGGCGTACTGGGAGTTCCTGAGGTAAAATAACATAATATCCTCATAGTAATGTCTTATCTTTTAATAAATCGTTTAGCAATTCGATCCTCCTGATGTAGTACAAGAGAAGTGTGAAAAACTGGCAGAGTGGATAAAAAATGCCAGGCATGTAGTTGTTCATACAGGTGCAGGGATTAGTACATCAGCTGGGATTCCAGACTTTAGAGGTCCCAGTGGTGTCTGGACGTTGGAGAAACAAGGCAAAAAGCCTAATATAGACATTTCTTTTAAAGATGCACTACCAACAAAGACTCATATGGCCATTAAAAAATTAATTGATGAAAATTATGTCCGTTATATTATAAGTCAGAACATTGATGGCTTGCACTTACGCAGCGGGATTGAAAGAAAATTTATAGCAGAATTGCATGGCAACATGTTTATTGAACAGTGCAACTTCTGTGACAGCCAGTTTGTGAGAAATACGCCAACTTCAACAGTTGGGAAAAAATGTCTTGACACAGATTGCAAAAGAATATTGAGAGGAAGACCATGTCGGGGAAAATTATTTGACACTATATTAGATTGGGAACATAACTTGCCAGATAAAGACTTAGAAATGTCAGATTATCATTCAAGGTTTGGATTTATAAATTTGAAGTACATATAATTTATAAAATTAACTCATTTTAGTGTAGCAGATTTGAATATTTGTTTAGGGACTACGTTACAAATTGTACCTAGTGGAAATTTGCCACTCAGATGCAAAAAATATGGAGGAAAAGTTGTTATTATAAATTTACAACCAACCAAACATGTAAGAATCTCAACAATGTAATGAGTTCCTAAACATAATATTATTTCAGGATAAAAAGGCTGACCTAATTATAAATACATATGTTGATGATGTATTAGAAAAGGTTACAAAGTGGTTAGGAGTGGAAATTGATGATTATTCGCAACAAACTGATCCCACTAGAATGAATTGTGAACATGGTACACGTGGTTGGAATATTTCCAAAAGTGACATAAAACAAATAAAAGGTTTGTATGATTTGTACTGCAAAAATGCAAAGAAGAGAAAATTGGAAACAAAAAAGAAAAAAGAATTTAAAATGTTAAAAAAAGATGAACCTAGTGTAATTGAAATTATTGATCTAACATGAATTTTTTTAAATAAAACTGTTAAACCTATTGGCAGCGTTTGAATTTACCGCTCTACGTGTATAATTAGCAGGGTAGGCATTTCTGGGGGAAAAACAAAATACAGGTCTTTTTACGTCAAAGTTAATGGCGTACGCAGATCTTTGTTGCTAGCAGCAAAAATCTTTAAGAATAAGCATCATCTTTAGAGTTTGTTAGTTAAAAGTTGTGTAATTATAAATTAGTTCAACATGGCAGATAAAGTAAGATGTTATTTTAATACTTGTTTTACGTTTGAGCGGTTTTTCAGTAATGTTTTTTGTTTGAACGGCATGTGCAGAAATGCGTACTTTAATAAAAAAATGTGTTTCAGGGAGATGAACAGGTTAAGAAGAAGAGGACCTTCAAAAAGTTCACCTACAGGGGTGTCGATTTAGACCAGCTTTTGGATTTGCCAAAGTCAGTATTTTAACCTCAAAACTGTCAATGTTTATTTAAACTGTGATTTCAGTGAGCAACTTATGGAGTTGATGCATTGTCGGGCCAGAAGACGCTTCAGTCGTGGTCTTAAACGTAAACCAATGGCTTTGGTAAAGAAATTGCGAAAAGCTAAGAAAGAAGCACCTCCACTAGAAAAACCCGAAATTGTGAAGACTCATCTTCGCAACATGATCATCGTTCCCGAAATGGTAGGATCTATCGTCGGCGTTTACAACGGAAAAGCTTTCACTCAGGTCGAAATTAAGCCAGAAATGATTGGACATTACTTAGGAGAGTTTTCTCTTACATATAAACCTGTAAAACACGGTAGGCCTGGTATTGGTGCCACCCACAGTTCTAGGTTCATTCCTCTCAAGTAAACACCTTGTTTTTTAATGTAAGTTCAACAATAAACTTATTTGAGAGATATTATGTGTTTTATTACAAACTAAGGGCATATAAATTTACAAAAAACGAGATTATATAGCTGAGTACATGAGTACATTCAGTCAATTGCACCATTAAATACCAAGTCAATGGCAGCTTCCACATCGCCTGAGGTGGCTTGAAGTGCCCTGATATTAACAGAATCATTCCGTAAACCAATTTCATGCATCTGTTGCAGTTGTGGTTGTAGTCTCCTTGTGATATTTTCCAAACTTTCAATTTCTCCCCTACTTGGAGTCATTGCACTTGTAGTACCTAGATTAGCTGATCCTAGAGCTTGTTGAATTGCATTGCTAAACATTTCATTTGTAATGACATTGCCCGAAGTCGTGGGAGTTGACGGCATGCCAGCACTATTAGTGTTAAATGCAGTGTTAGTAGCGTTAGCAATTGCTGCAGCTAGCTGAGCTGCTGTAATAGCATTGTAGGATGTGTTACGAGTCAATGGATGTGGTTCACGAATTGAAGTATCCATTTCTTCATCATCAGAGAGTGCCTCAAGTGAATATGAGTAACCAGTACTTGTAGTAGCTTGAGAGGTATCAACATTTGCTTGTTCTTCATGAATATGTGCTGCTATATAATTTGCTGCTTCAATCAATGACGGATGTTTTTCTGCCACTCTACGAACAGTATCTGGATCTGCCATGTGTACTATTAATTCTGGATCTTGGATAATAGCAATAGCTGAAGGATCATCAGCAAGCCCCGGGGTTGCAGCAATTATTGTTTCTAATACCTCAGGTCGGGCCAGTCTCTGAAACATTCACTCAAAATAATAACGTTTTTACTCTCTGAGCGTAAGCTAAGGAAGTATTGGAATAAGCTCTAGCTGACAAACAGCTACTGTATTAAATGTCTTAATTACATACTTGTAGAGCAGCTCGATAGCCTGATGATAAAGTGAAAGCTCTAAAAGCTACTACCAGCTGCTGAACTTCAGTTTCTGTAAGGGCCCGTCCCCGTGTCACATTTTGCGGGAGATTTTTCTTAACTACATGGATTGTGACTCCTGATTTAATTCCATAAGAAGATAGAGAGTGGTCATCTTCAAGCACAAGTCCACAGTAGATCAAATCTAAAAGTCAATTTTACAATCCAAAACTTTTTGCTTTGTCATCGTCTTACCTATTGCCACTTTGGAAGTATTTAGTTTTTTCACTGCTTCATTTTTCAATACTTCTACTTTGTCTTCCAGATCCAAATTTTCTACTTTAAGGTTTTCATATTGGAAAGAATCCCATATTCCTAAGACAACACTTGCAGCAGCCATTGTATGATGTTTTATGATTTTGACTCGTAACCAGAAACTTGGCACGGTTTGGCACTTGGCCTGTTGTTATTAACAAAACCAGGGAAACCAGAGGGAAACTAAACTATGACTCGATGATGAACATGCACAACTTTTAAAACAAAACAAAAGACTGTGATTGTAGTGATACTGATTCTAGGGAGTTAAGTGTGAATAGTTGGTTAGACACGGACATTAGGCGGTAAATTCAAATGCAGCAGTGTTCATACATCACAAAATGACCAAACAGAGTTTATTACAAATTGCTACTTACATATGTGTAATGCAAATACTACATGACGTGTTACTTTGTCCTATGAATTTCAGGAAAATAGAATGGGTTGTTTTTAAAATAATAAAAAAAAGTGGAGATGCAGGCAATCGAAACCCTTGCAAAACGAACACTGTCGCCGCACGTAAATCTACTTGTTGTACGAATCACAACGTAAAAATACATAAATTATGTAGTATTATCTGGAGCAATTCTGCTAGTAGAACACTGGTAGAACATGGGTAGAACCTAGAACCAGTGATTAGAACAAAAGAATATGTAACACAACCACAATATGAATATGTAAATTTTAAGTGATGTTCTGTAATCCTTAAATCAATGCCACTGTACACTATACCACTAAAATGTTGAAAATTGGTCAGGGGTTCTCGTCCTTACATATATACATATATCCATCTTTTTTGGAAAATCATAAAATTTTATTTTGTGAATTTAATTTTTTCATTTCTATAAAATGTGAATGTATTGATAAAAACTCATAATATTTTGCACATTTTAGACACGATTTATGCAGCAGAATTTTGAGGTGACGTTATCGAGTTTTTGTGGTGGAATAAACACATAAGTTTTGGTTAGTGATTTACCATGTGTACGATTTTTTTTCCGAAAATCTAGATGCCTAGGGTAAAAAATCAAAGAGTCATTCATAAACTACAAGTATAGAACTATGCTATTTTATTAAATTTACTAGACAAAATTTTGAGATGACGTAACCAAATTTTTGATGAGGATGATCAGACAAATTTTGGTTAGCGTTTTACCATTTTCACCATATATCTAATAGTACTATATTGCTAGCTCTTCAGAAGTAACATAGAAACGATGTTTACGGACAGAGAGAGACAGAAGATGTTGTTTTCTGTCTATAAGAGTACCGAGGGTCTGTGCGCATGTACACAAAATAGAAGCGAAAGTACGAAATGTCAAAACGCATCCAGTCACGCTATCCACTACAAATCAACCAAGTACGAGTCCATGCGCAGTACTGTTTAGTACCACAGAGAGACAGAGAGGTCCGATATATTGCTCTACCGTTATGTTTTCGGAATCTTTTGAGGCCAGTTAGCAATAGTACTATTAGATAGGTATATGATTTTCACGATATTTCCAAAGTATATATAATACTAGCTGACCCGGTGAACTTTGTTTCACCTACAATTTAATTTTGAATCTGCAAAACCGAATGCTTTGAAATCTTGCAGATGTTTTAAACACATGATAAGCATAATAAATTTTTATTCAAAATATATTTATTTATCCCCTCCCAAAAATTGATGACGTCAGCCCAAAATTTTGCCAAATGAATCCTATCTAAAATGTTCAAAATAGGAGGATGAGTCTATACTTGTGATTTATCATTCCATTCATATTTTTTAGATTTGCTTATATAGGGTGACTCAAAAAGATTAATGAATGGGTGAATTAATTTTATTGATTTAATCAGGAACTGCAAAAATGCTCTGAAATCTTGGAGATGCTTTAATGCTATCATAAGCATGGTAATTTTTTGATTAAAGTGTATTTGTTCATTCCCCCTAAAAAATTGATGACGTCACCTGAAAATTTTGCTGAATAAATCCCATCTGAAATGTGCAAAACATGATGAGTTTTTACTTGTGATTTATCACAGCATTAATATCTTTTTAGTTTTGCTTGTATGGGGTATCTCAAAAAAATTAATCAGTGAGTCAATATATTTTATTGATTGAATGAAACAACATTTTGTAATTAAATTTGGAATCTGCAAAACCGTATGCTTTGAAATCTTGCAGATGATTTACAGTTATGATAAGCATGATAAATTTTTATTCAAAATATATTTACTTGTCCCCTCCAAAAAATTGATGACGTTACCTCAAAAGTTTGCCGAATAAGTCCTACTAAAATGTATAAAATATGATGAGTCTGTACTTGTGATGTATCGTTCCATTCATATTTTTTGGATTTGCATATACAGGGTGACTCAAAAAAATTAATGAATGGGTGAATTTATTTAATTGATTTAATCAGGAACTACGTAACCGAATGCTTTGAAATCTTGGAGATGCTTTACAGTTATCATAGGCATGATAAATTTTTAGTCAAAATATATTTCCTCATCCCCCCCCCCCTTAAAAAAATTGTGACGTCACCTCAAAATTTTGCTGAATAAATCCTATCTTAAATGTGCAAAGTATGATGAGACAATACTTGTGATTTATCATTCCATTCATATTTTTTGGATTTGCAGATACAGATTGACTAAAAAAAAATTATAAATGCGTGAATTTATTTTATTTATTTAATCAGGAACTACAAAACCGAATGCTTTGAAATCTTGGAGATGTTTTATAGTTATTATAAGCATGGTAAATTTTTAATCAAAATGTATTTGCTCATCCCCCCTAAAAAATTGATGACGTCACCCCAAAAAGTTAAATGAATGGGTCAATTTATTTTAGTGATTAAATCAGGAATAGTTCACTCCATTTTCCCGAAAATTTGGAGATACAACACTGTTATTATAAGTATTACATTGCACCAACCTAATTTGATAGACACAAAATTTTGTAAAGTAAGAACTCATTTGAAACATAGGCGTAGCACGCTTATTTACGTTTACGTTAACATTACAGACGTGCATTTGTTTTGTTGCGCTGACTAGGTTCCGTGAATGTGGTATAAACAAGTTATAATCAACCAATTGTGAATTAAACCATCAAAAATTAAAATAAAATCCGATGTTTTATACCTAATAATCGGAAGTCGAAGCAATAAAAAAGTCTGGGTGACCATCGGTATTGTTTGCAGTTTGTCTGTTTGACTCTCACGTGTACAATCTCAACAAGTGTTACCGCTTGTTGTCTTAAATTAAGAATGCTTATACATAAATGATTTTGAGTCGTCTCTGCTAATACACGCGGCATACGTGAGTAAACTGTTTCGTTATTTTATTGATTATAAATCAATATTCAAGACGACCCAATTCATTTTCCCGAAAATTTACGCTACAAAAATGTAATGAGAAAAAAACATAATAGGCATGCAGTCGTCATGTTTCCGACAGCGAGGGAAGTACTGTTCAAACTCTTTAGGCCAATTTTTTTTTAGTGTTATACAGGGTCGTTAAAAAGTATGGAAGCAGTTGAATATCGCGAGAATGGTATGTGGAATCTTTTTTGAAATTAAGGCTGTCTCTAAGAATATTCAAGTTATATTTTTTGCAATTTTTTCAAATTTTATACATATTTCATTTTTTTTAAGATGCAGGGCTAACTTGATTTTTTTTTTTAAACAGCACTAACTAGTAGTCAAATGTTCCGTTTTTAAATAGTGTATTATTTATTATTTCCCAACATGGTAAAATAAATTGTCAGAAAATCGTAGCTAGCCATGACAGTGCTATCACCTTTCATAGTTCTGGCGTAGGACAATTCAAAAATTATACTAGACCGAATCATTGTAAAAATGATAGAACTAATGGTATATAAACTGAAATAAAGGTGCCAGTGTAACAGATTGATTTAAATGCTATTTCCAAATAATTTACAAAATATTCTAGAAATAACAATACTCACAATTTAGAGAAATTTAAATAAAAAAATTACATTATTTAAAAAAAGATCAAAGTAACATTAAAAAAACAATAATTTTACAACAAATGTTCGAAATGTTCTCTATTTACATCCTGGCAATAGTAAATACGTTCCACAAAGTTTTCAAATGAATCTGTTAGAAATTAGAGTACTGTTACAGTTTTCTATAGGAGGACTATCAACAATCACATTTAATAATATTCTTTCTTGCAGATCTACCATGCTTCATATTAACATACACTCAATTTATTACATAATCCCACAGAAAAAAGTCAAGTGGGATTAAATCGGGTGATTTAGCTGGTCACTCAACTGCTTCTCTTCGTCCTATCCACCTTCCAGGAAAAGTTTCATTCAAGTAATGCCGTACTTGACATCCGAAGTGAGGTGGTGCTCCGTATTGTTGGAACCAGATGGACTCTGCAGGTAAATTTAGGTTTTCATAGTTGAGAAATATTTGTCTAAGTCGAAGAATAATAATTTGTTGCAAAAGTTGGAGCTATTTGTCAGACCATAAATTTCCGTTAATGAAGAAGGGACCTACAATGTGGCGACCATTAATGCCGCACTAAACATTAAATTTTTGGGGGTACTATGTATGAACTTCCTCCATCCAGTGTGAATTTGTATTGAACCAGTACCTATAGTTATAGCGATTAACATGCTCATTCAAACAAAAAGTAGTTTTATCAGAGAATAATAACTGGTTTAGGAAGTTGCCATCCTGATCTAATCTATCTGCCATTATTTCGCAAAATTCGATTCTGTGGTCAGCCATCCTCACTCAGTTCTTGTAGTAAATGAATTTTGTATGGATGATATTTTCCCGTCTGAGTATTTTTTGAACTGAACCTCTACTCATACTTACCTTTAATGCCAATTGCTGCACTGAAAATTTTTGGATTTTCTGTTATATCTAACATGATATTAAAAGAGTTTTCGTCATTTGCAACATTTTTTGATCTTCCGGTTCTTTGACGATTTCTAATATTACCAGTTTCGACCTAGAGACTTGTTGTCGGTTGGGATGACTTTCATTAAAAAGTGCTGCTACTTTAGTAAGTATTGCTTCGCCGTCCGTCGCCATAGGCTACCATTATCAAGATTTTTTTTAGTACAATGTCTGTTAATGGTGTCATTTTAGTGTTCTATGGAAATATTTCTAAACCTGGATGAAGATGTTTGCTTTTCAGTACTAAACACTGATAAATCGTTGACAGTATTTTCAAAGTTAATTACAGTTTTCTATTTCAGAATTTATTCATAATAAATAATAATTTATCATTTTATTTGTCATTATATTCTTCTTCTATTCTA